AATACCTCTGTATATTTTCTATCAATGCATTTCTCGTGTTTGATCTGTTTGATCTGTGTTGGCAAATTTAAACGTTTTGTAAAGTCCTCCCAGATAACTACTTATTTAGGGCTGTACGTGAATAAATTGAATTAAACATGAATTATTATTGTTATTATTATTATTAGTAATTCAGACACATAAAAGGTCCATAAAAAAACCAAAAAAACAGACAAAAATATAGATAAACGACATAGAAACATACAGTATTTACAAAATGCTGTCCAGACACTTCCTCTACTGCGCCAGAGTTCAGAAGTGCAGAACAAAGGGCATGTATGTATGAAATGTAAAAGCCTGTGTGTGTATCTGAGTCTGTACCTGAGAGGGCGCAGGGTCCGCAGCAGCCGTAGCACCCGGAGGACCCCCAGGATCTTGGCCCCACCCGCCATGGACACCACGATGTCGATGAGAGACACGAAGACCAGGAACCCGTCCAGGACGTTCCAGCTGCTCCTCAGGTACGTCTTCTCTCCGATGTACAGCCCCATGGACACCACCTGAGGACAGACACCACACTCTGTCTCACTGTGGCAGACCTACGCAGCTAAGCAGGGCAGGGCCTGGTTAGTGCTGTGATGGGAGACCTCTGGGAACGGCAGGTGGGGCGGCTGCGGCTGTAAAGTGCTAGACTGTCATTGTGTCCTTAGGCAAGACACTTCCCCCACATTAGAATGAGTCAGGTGTGTGTGAATGGTTGGTGGTGGTGGGAGGGGCTGATGGCACAGACTGGTTGCCTCACATTTGTTGGTGTGCCCCAGGGCAGCTGTGGCTACAGACGTAGTTCATCACCCCCGTGATTGGAGTAAATGAATGAGGATGTGTGAAGCGTCTTTGCAACACTTACAAACTATCAACATTGTATTTTTGAAACAAATGGTGAACAAAAAAATAGCAGAGGCCAAAAAGTTGAACTTTTACTCAAACAACTGCATTCTAGAAACTGAGAGTTTTCCTGTTGGACAAACATTGTAAGGTATTTCACAATGTTCATCGTTTTAAACATCTGCATTTCTAAAATGTTGAAAAATAATACTTTTTTGTCTTTAAGTCGCTCTTTTTAAATTATAGATTCTACATCAGTCTGTTGCTAGAGCTGCTAAAGTTGCTACAGTCGCTACAGTTGCTACAGCTGCTACAGTCGCTACAGTTGTTACAGTCGCTACAGTTGTTACAGTTGCTACAGTTGTTACAGCTGCTACAGCTGCTACAGTTGCTACAGCTGCTACAGCTGCTACAGTTGCTACAGTTGCTACAGTTGGTACAGTTGGTACAGTTGCTACAGTTGCTACAGTTGCTACAGTTGCTACAGTTGTTACAGTTGTTACAGCTGCTACAGTCGCTACAGTCGCTACAGTCGTTACAGTTGCTACAGTTGCTACAGTCGCTACAGTTGCTACAGTTGTTACAGTGGCTACAGTTGCTACAGTTGTTACAGTGGCTACAGTTGCTACAGTTGTTACAGTGGCTACAGTTGCTACAGTCGCTACAGTCACTACAGTTGCTACAGCTGCTACAGTTGTTACAGTGGCTACAGTCGCTACACTCGGGAGTCCACCGACTCCCGAGGTCTCTGCGCCCCCACCGCCTCAAAAGAACTCCACACCTCCACGATTCAAGAAGAACTCAACACCTCCAAGGTTCCAAAAGAACTCAACACCTCCACGGCTCCGAAAGAGCTCAACGCCTCCACCACCAGCATCATCAGCAGCTGCCACATCTTCATCAGCGCCATCAGCATATACACCACCAGCAGCAGTGGATACAGCCGCAGCAGTGGCTGCTCCATCATCTTCAGCAGCAGCAGTGGATACAGCAGCAGCAGTGGCTGCTCCATCATCTTCAGCAGCAGCAGTGGCTGCTCCATCATCTTCAGCAGCAGCAGTGGCTGCTCCATCATCTTCAGCAGCAGCAGTGGCTGCTCCATCATCTTCAGCAGCACCTTCCCCACCTACAGCTCCCGTGAAGCTTCCCCCACTGCTCCAGGCTACAGACAGACCTGTACTGGGGGTTCCTCAACCACCTCTGTCTCCACCAAAGACTCCCTCATCACCTTCCATGGACCCGGCTTGGGTCCCCCCCGCTACATCCACTCCATCTAGGGAAAATGAGGACGACCTTTCCCTTTGTTTTCTATCCCCGCCTTCACTACTGGAATTACCGGAACACTCGGCAGGCATGATAAGATCGGCGATGAAGACTATTCCTCTCACACCCACTGTAGCCAGATCAAGAGTCCTATCTAACATTCAAAACTACTCCCCATACGTACCTCCAAAGCCACCTAGGGCGTCCAACTCAAATTCTCCCACAAAATCCACCCGTCCCTCCTCTAACCCCATAGGTATTCCACCCCCCCCTCCTGTTCATTTAGCCCACCTCCCCCCTAACCCAGCACCAAGAAACCCTCCACCTCCACTCCCCCCTCGTCCACCACCCAACTCAGCCTGCCCCTCCCCTAACCCATCACCAAAAACCCATCCACCTTCAACCCCCCCCGTGCAACTCCCAAGAACCACCTGCCTCTCCATCCTCTTCCCCCGCCTTCCCCTTCCCCTCTTTTCTCTAAACACTAGGATGCACAGGGTCTCTGCTTCGCAGCCACTGGCAGTCTAGTTAGAGGAGAGACCCGGCTGGGGCCCTGTCATGAAGCCACCTGTGCCATTCCCTTAGTGATAACACAAAGAATACATTACAGAAAAACATCTGAAGTTAATCAGTCTAATCAGGAAAATCTAATTCTTGTTCCGTGTAAGAATCAGCCGACCACAACCGCTGATACTGAAACTTTGAAACTTGCTACGCTAAATGTCAGATCTCTTTGTAACAAGTCTTTTTTAATCAATAATTTTATTTCTTCTCATAATCTTGATCTTATGTTCATGGCTGAAACATGGCTTGACCAAAATACAGAAAATGCAGTTTTAATAGAAGCATCACCACCAAATTTCAAATTTGAATCTGAAATACGGGAAAACAAAAAAGGAGGAGGCTTAGCTGCCATTTTCAGAGACCACTTTGTCTCCCATAGAATGTCTCTTGGGAAGTTTCCGTCTTTTGAATATGTGTCTTTTAAAATACAACAAAAACAATCTAGTCCAATACTCTTCATAGTTCTATACAAGCCACCGCAGTCATGTCACAGATTTATTGATAATTTTACGGAGTTGCTTTCAGTTTTATGCACAGATTTTGATAGCTTAGTTATTACAGGGGATTTTAATATTCATGTGGATAATGTTATTGACAGAAAGGCAAAAGAGCTGAGTTCTGTTCTTGAATCTTTTGGTCTCACTCAGCATGTGAGTGGCCCCACCCACAGCAGAAGGCACACTCTAGACCTGTTAGTTACTAAGGGGGTGAATATTTCAAATGTAAACGTGGTCGATGTTGCGCTTTCGGATCATTTTTGTGTATTTTTTGACATGTGTTTCAATTAACAAACCACCAGTGGACTCTGCAACTGTACGAAGACACATAAATGAAAATACGGGTGAACTATTTATGGGAATGATAAACTTTGAGAATGCATCGTATTCTACTGTAGATGAACTGTTTAACTCTGTCACCTCTAGTGTTTTGAATGTTCTGGATACCGTTGCCCCTGTGAAGGTTAAAATAGTGAAAAATAAGCAGAAGGCGCCGTGGGCTAAAGCAGACTCGGTCAGGACACAAAAGAGAGAGTGCCGGAGGGCCGAGCGGAAGTGGCGCAAGTCCAACCTCCAGGTTGATTACGAGATCTTCAAAGATAAGTTGTGCGAGTTTAACCGGGTGCTACGTAGTACGAGAGAAAGGTATTTTTCTGAAATGATTGAAGGCTGCAGCAACAATCTGCGTGTTCTGTTTTCAACAGTTAATAGATTAACAAACCCCCCTGTTCAAATGCCATTAGAGCTAACTTCCAAACGTAAATGTAATGAGTTTGCACATTTTTTCAATGACAAGGTTCAAGGCATCAAAAACGCCATTGTCTCCAATCCACAGATAACCATCCAACAGAAAGGCTCTTTGAGCTAACTTACTTTGCACCTGTAAATGATCAAACTGTCCAAGAGATAATCTCCAGTCTGAGCGCCTCCACATGCAGCCTGGATGTACTACCCACTAGATTTCTAAAGTCTGTTCTGAGCAGTCTGTTACCTTCACTCACACAGATAGTAAACATGTCCCTTCATTCTGGAATATTCCCAAAGGCCCTGAAAACTGCAGTCATCAGGCCCCTGCTTAAAAAGAGCAGTCTGGATGCTACGGTACTTAACAACTACCGTCCCATCTCAAATCTGCCATTTATGGGGAAAGTCCTTGAAAAAGTTGTCTACCAACAGCTAAATAGATTTCTTATAATCAACAACTCATTTGATATGTTTCAGTCCGGCTTTAGACCCCACCACAGCACTGAGACTGCTCTCATCAAGGTTACAAACGATATCCGGCTGAACACTGATGCAGGCAAAGTCTCAATCCTAATCTTGTTAGATCTAAGTGCTGCCTTTGACACTGTCGACCAGGAGATCCTCTTACAGAGACTAGAGGACTGGGTTGGTATCACTGGCACCGCCCTAAGTTGGTTTAGGTCTTACCTTGAAGACAGGAAGTACTTTGTGGAGATTGGAAACTGTGTCTCAGATCATATGGCCCTGACCTGTGGAGTCCCACAGGGGTCGATCCTGGGACCTCTTCTTTTCAATCTCTACATGCTGCCGTTAGGTCAGTTAATACGCAGAAACGAAGTTTCCTATCATAACTATGCAGACGACACTCAGATCTATGCCTCACTGACTGCAGGAGAACATGGACCAGTGGACTCACTCCTTCACTGTATCCAACAGATCAGTGAGTGGATGCAAAACAACTTCCTTCAGCTAAACGCAGACAAAACTGAAATGATTGTCTTTGGTCCCCAGAAACAAAGAGAGAGCGTCATCTGTCATCTACAGTCCCTCTCCCTAAAACCTTCAAACAAGGTCAGAAATCTAGGGGTAATACTGGACTCAGACTTAAATTTTAATAGCCACATCAAATCAGTAACATCAGCAGCTTTTTACCATCTAAAAAACATTGCCAGGATCAAAAACATAGTGTCTAAAGCAGACTTGGAGATTCTTATCCATGCATTTGTCTCCAGTAGGTTAGACTACTGCAATGGCCTGCTCACAGGTCTGTCCAAACAGGCTGTAAAACAGCTGCAGTACATTCAAAATGCAGCAGCTCGAGTCCTGACTAGAACCAGGAAGTACGACCATATTAGTCCTGACTAGAACCAGGAAGTACGACCATATTAGTCCAGTCCTCAGGTCTCTGCACTGGCTTCCTGTGGCTCAGAGAATAGACTTTAAAACAGCTTTGCTTGTGTACAAGTCTCTCCATGGCCTCGCACCAAAATATATTAGTGACATGTTAGTCCCATATGAACCAGCCCGGACTCTGAGGAGCACAGGGACTGGCCTCCTGCTGGGACTCTGAGGAGCACAGGGACTGGACTCCTGCTGGGACTCTGAGGAGCACAGGGACTGGACTCCTGCTGGGACTCTGAGGAGCACAGGGACTGGACTCCTGCTGGGACTCTGAGGAGCACAGGGACTGGACTCCTGTTAGTGCCCATAGTCAGGACTAAACATGGGGAGGCTGCTTTTCAGATTCATGCTGCTAAAATCTGGAACAGTCTTCCTGAAGATGTGAGACAGGCCTCCTCTCTGACTATGTTAAAAACCAAGTTAAAGACTGTGCTGTTTAGCTGTGCATACAACTGAGGGATTTTATATTTTTATCTTTCTTTTTAATGTTCTGTGATTATTTATGATTTTAATGCTATCTTGTTCAGCACTTTGAGTTGCCTTGTGTATGAATTGTGCTATACAAATAAACATGCCTTGCCTTGCCTACAGTTGTTACAGTGGCTACAGTCGCTACAGTTGTTACAGTGGCTACAGTCGCTACAGTCGCTACAGTCGCTACAGTCGCTACAGTTGCTACAGTTGCTACAGTCGCTTCAGTCGCTACAGTTGTTACAGTCGCTACAGTCGCTACAGTTGCTACAGTTGCTACAGTTGTTACAGTGGCTACAGTTGCTACAGTCGCTACAGTTGCTCCAGTTGTTACAGCTGCAACAGTTGCTACAGTCGCTACAGTCGCTACAGTTGCTACAGTTGTTACAGTGGCTACAGTTGCTACAGTCGCTACAGTTGCTACAGTTGTTACAGCTGCAACAGTTGCTACAGTCGCTTCAGTCGCTACAGTTGCTACAGTTGCTACAGTCGCTACAGTTGCTACAGTTGCTACAGTTGTTACAGTGGCTACAGTCGCTACAGTTGCTACAGTTGTTACAGTCGCTACAGTTGCTACAGTTGTTACAGTGGCTACAGTTGCTACAGTTGTTACAGTGGCTACAGTTGCTACAGTTGTTACAGTGGCTGCAGTTGCTACAGTTGTTACAGTGGCTACAGTTGCTACAGTCGCTACAGTTGCTACAGCTGCTACAGCTGCTACAGTTGCTACAGTTGTTACAGTCGCTACAGTTGCTACAGTTGTTACAGTGGCTACAGTTGCTACAGTTGTTACAGTGGCTACAGTTGCTACAGTTGTTACAGTGGCTGCAGTTGCTACAGTTGTTACAGTCGCTACAGTTGCTACAGTCGCTACAGTTGCTACAGCTGCTACAGCTGCTACAGTTGCTACAGTGGCTACAGCTGCTACAGTGGCTACAGCTGCTACAGTTGCTACAGTTGTTACAGTTGCTACAGTTGCTACAGTTGTTACAGCTGCTACAGTTGTTACAGCTGCTACATTTGCTACAGCTGCTACAGTTGCTACAGCTGCTACAGTTGCTACAGTTGCTACAGTCGCTACAGCTGCTACAGTTGCTACAGTTGCTACAGTCGCTACAGCTGCTACAGTTGCTACAGTAGCTACAGCTGCTACAGTTGCTACAGTCGCTACAGTCGCTACAGCTGCTACAGTTGCTACAGTTGTTACAGTTGCTACAGTCGCTACAGTCGCTACAGCTGCTACAGTTGTTACAGTCGCTACAGCTGCTACAGTTGTTACAGTCGCTACAGCTGCTACAGTTGTTACAGTCGCTACAGCTGCTGGGTAGAGGCGCTCACAATTCAAAGTGATGGATAAAAGACCTGGAGTTATTGTCAGAAACAGCCGCTGGCGCCTGTTCTGGAAATAAACCATTAATCACATGGATTTGAATAAGGAAGTGAACATGGAAACGGCAGAGCTCACATGGGATTAACACGACTCCAGCAACACACTGATCATATGAACGACTCCATGTACAGTATGTTTTTATAATCCGGATAATTCTTTGGCTTCCGTGAGCAACATTCATGAACCAAAGGCTTCTGGGGGTTTGTTATTCTGTTTTCATGTGTGTTTGAACTGTTTGATCTCTTGTTGGTCTTTTGATAACTTTGTAAAGTGCTCAGAGACGACAAATGTTGTGATTTAGGGCTATACAAAAATACATTAAAAGGGTAAAGGTGCACTTTATCCTCTGCATTTGACCCAGATGCTCTAAGGCTCACGTCAGGAGCAGTGGTCGCCGTAGTAACAGCGACCTGGAACCCATCTCCAGATGTTGCTCGGCTTGGTCTGGACCAGAGCTGGAGGATTTAACCTATGTGAGCATGTGTTTAGTGGTAGGAGAAACCTGAAGAAACAAACGCAGACACGGAGAGAACATGCAAACTCCACTCAGAAAGACCCTGTTCTTCTAACCAGGATTACTATAGCAACAGCACATCATCAGTAGTTAAAACTTCAGAACAGTAGGAATGAAAAGCAGCAGAACAATAACTGTATAGTTCTGTTTGGCATTACAGTAGTTTTAGTATTTTGTGCACACACCACAGGAGCAGAAAGTCCACAGCCAGACCGGGTCCACAGCCAGACCGGTTCCACAGCCAGACCGGTTCCACAGCCAGACCGGTTCCACAGCCAGACCGGGTCCACAGCCAGACCGGTTCCACAGCCAGACCGGGTCCACAGCCAGACCGGTTCCACAGCCAGACCGGTTCCACAGCCAGACCGGTTCCACAGCCAGACCGGGTCCACAGCCAGACCGGGTCCACAGCCAGACCGGTTCCACAGCCAGACCGGGTCCACAGCCAGACCGGGTCCACAGCCAGACCGGGTCCACAGCCAGACCGGGTCCACAGCCAGACCGGGTCCACAGCCAGACCGGGTGCACAGCCAGACCGGTTCCACAGCCAGACCGGGTCCACAGCCAGACCGGGTCCACAGCCAGACCGGGTTCACAGCCAGACCGGGTCCACAGCCAGACCGGTTCCACAGTTCCACAGCCAGACCGGTTCCACAGCCAGACCGGGTCCACAGCCAGACCGGGTTCACAGCCAGACCGGGTCCACAGCCAGACCACAGTCATGGTCCACGGAAAAGTGTGAGCTCGGGTTTAGTCCGGGTCCAGTTTTGGTCCTGGGGCATGTTCTTGTTTCTGGCCTTTATCATCTTTACAGACAGAAAAGTTCAGTACAGAGGACCCCCCTCATTCGGCCAATCTCAGCCCAAAGAGTCAGATGGTGACTCAATGGGCTCTTTATTATAATTAAAATAATAATAATAATAAATTCAGCCATAATTAATCCTCACGACCTGCAGCTTCAAATGTGCCGCTTCCTCCGGTCGTCAGTCACTTTGATAATTCCTCCGAAGCGAGTAGTAGTAATTATAATCCAGAGATAATTGTAATCCAGTATTACTACTCGTGCTCGTTTGTATCAGCGCCTTTTCTCTGAGCGCAAAAATTCTTAATCCCAGGAGCAGCTTTCTCTTTCCCGCTGTGGTCCTTATGGTTTATGTAGTTTAATCCACACACACAGCTCTTCCTCCTGCAGCTGTGGTTAATGGACTCAAACAAGACACACATTAAGCTAAACAGAGCTGAAGGTAAATGTGGTGAAGGTCCCCGAGTCAGAGGACGGAAACACTAGTGTGAAAACCCAGACGGTCCGGGCCCCAGACGGTCCGGGTCCTAAACGGTCCGGGCCCCAGATAGACCAGGCCCCAGATAGACCAGGCCCCAGACGGACCGGGCCCCAGACAGACCGGGCCCCAGACGGTCCGGATCCTAAACGGTCCGGGCCCCAGATAGACCAGGCCCCAGACGGACCGGGCCCCAGACGGTCCGGGTCCTAAATGGTTTTGGGTGAGCTGCCCTTTTACTGTTTAAACTTTAAGACAACAAAAAGTGAATGATATCCTGTGTTTATACCCAATGTTCATTTTCATCCCTTTATTATCCATGTCTGGGTCAGGAATCAATTCACAAAGCACCAGTCCCTGATCCTCTTCAGGGGGTGGGTCCACAGGAAGATGGCTGCTCCTTCAACACAGATATGCCCTTGATCTTTCAGCAGGGACTTCAGGCAAAGTGGGGTTAAGTGTCTTGCCCAAGGACACAACGACAGCAGACATCAGTGGGAGCAGGTGACATGGGCCGTGGTGGGATTGAACCCACGACCATTAGGTCCAGAGACCGATGCTTTACCAACTGAGCTGCTGTCGCTCCATCACAGTATATACCCAATGTGTGGGTTGTAAAACAGATTTGGGGACCAGAGCTTTAACATGAGGTATGACATGGCACATATGCATGGCCCGCCCCCCCAGCTTCCTGATTGGACGCAATGAATTCAAATCAATGATCGACAGCTGAGGCCTCTCCCATTGGTCTATAGAAAACTCACTGCTGATGCTTATTCCAAGGGTAGGGACAGATTTAAATGAATGTATCATGAAACAAAAAATCTAATTTAGACGATATAATGGGGTCATGTACTCACAAATATGTTTTATTTGCTAAATCAAATACAAATTAAGCTTCTATCTGAAAAACAATAGATAGATAGATAGACAACATGACAACTATCTACCATAAGCAACAGTTCTGCTATTCCCCCCATACTTAGACAGACCGGGCCCCAGACGGACCGGGCCCCAGACAGACCGGGCCCCAGACAGACCAGGCCCCAGACGGACCGGGACCCAGACGGTCCGGGCCCCAGACGGTCCGGGTCCTAAACGGTCCGGGCCCCAGACAGACCGGGCCCCAGACGGTCCGGGTCCTAAACGGTCCGGGCCCCAGACAGACCGGGCCCCAGACGGTCCGGGTCCTAAACGGTCCGGGCCCCAGACAGACCGGGCCCAGACGGACCGGGCCCCAGGCTGACAGGGCTGTGGCTCCTCATTGGTTAATAATTGATGGCGAGAGTACATAATTTAGTAGGTAGTTTTGCTCAAGCTATTAAAGTTAAACAGACGGCGGTAAACATTGGGGAGCAGATTTAGACCGCAGTATTTTGGAGAGATTTGCAAAAATGTGCAATAATTGGCTTTTTAGGGAGAGGCTGAATAATATATGTGTTTGATAAATGCCAGGTCTTTAGAGAGAGAGGTGATAAACCGGTACCTTTAGAGTCATTTCTCCAACAAAGATGGCCGTAAAGATGTAGTTGGAGACGGTGAGGAAGACCCGCTCCTGGGGGAGAAACACACACAGAAGAATCACAGAAGAATCACCGAAAGGCTGAAGAACAGAGAGGGGGGGGGGGGGGGGGGGGGATCCACAATCCTAATGTATGGAGTTTTAATGTTTTAATTTACAAAACTGACATACATTGGAAGTATTACCTTGTTGCTAGTGTGTTGCTTTAGTAAAAACAGAAAAGAAAAGAAAAAAAAATCTTTAAAATGTTTTTGGTCAATCTGCGCCTATGCAAAACACACACACACACATGAATGCATAACCTACACACAGGCCCGTCGCAAGGGGGGTGCGAGGCCCTGTGCGAACTTGAAACGCGAGGCCCTGCCCTGACACCTTTTTCCCAGATCTCAGGAAAGTTTTTCATGTTATAATATTTGACATGAATTCAGCACCGCCTCGCGCTGTGCGTGAAGAGATCAGCACGCGCGCAGACGTGTGTCCTCGCTCCAATGCAGCGTCGCACGCACACACGCACGCACCCACACACAAACTGTTACCGCGCTTGGCATTGGTATATTGGTCGCGGTCTTTTTAGCTGACATGGCTCTTTCGTCCTGTGGCAAAATGGCAGCAACTCAAAAGATTGAACCAAAAGGAGTCTTCTTCTTTTTCTAATTGTTAGATTACGGCAAAATGCGCCAAAATGGCTATGAGGCGGAGTCAATATTTGTTATTTTTTTCCTCATCAAATATTGTTTTCGCCATGCCTCCACACTCACAACATACGCTCCTTCTCCTGCTCCTCCTCCACTCTCTGACCACAACAACATACACTCCTTCTCAATCTCCTCCACCACACACTCTGACCACAACCTACATGCTCCTCCTCCTCCTCCTCCTCCACACACTCTGACCACAACCTACATGCTCCTGCTCCTCCTCCTCCACACACTCTGACCACAACCTACATGCTCCTCCTCCTCCTCCTCCACACACTCTGACCACAACCTACATGCTCCTCCTCCACCTCCTCCACACACTCTGACCACAACCTACATGCTCCTCCTCCACCTCCTCCACACACTCTGACCACAACCTACATGCTCCTCCTCCACCTCCTCCACACACTCTGACCACAACCTACATGCTCCTCCTCCTCCTCCTCCTCCACACACTCTGACCACAACCTACATGCTCCTCCTCCACCTCCTCCACACACTCTGACCACAACCTACATGCTCCTCCTCCACCTCCTCCACACACTCTGACCACAACCTACATGCTCCTCCTCCACCTCCTCCACACACTCTGACCACAACCTACATGCTCCTCCTCCTCCTCCTCCTCCACACACTCTGACCACAACCTACATGCTCCTGCTCCTCCTCCTCCACACACTCTGACCACAACCTACATGCTCCTCCTCCACCACACACTCTGACCACAACCTACATGCTCCTGCTCCTCCTCCTCCACACACTCTGACCACAACCTACATGCTCCTCCTCCTCCTCCTCCACACACTCTGACCACAACCTACATGCTCCTCCTCCTCCTCCACCACACACTCTGACCACAACCTACATGCTCCTCCTCCTCCTCCACACACTCTGACCACAACCTACATGCTCCTCCTCCTCCTCCTCCACACACTCTGACCACAACCTACATGCTCCTCCTCCTCCTCCTCCTCCACACACACTCTGACCACAACCTACATGCTCCTCCTCCTCCTCCACCACACACTCTGACCACAACCTACATGCTCCTCCTCCTCCTCCTCCACACACTCTGACCACAACCTACATGCTCCTCCTCCTCCTCCTCCACACACTCTGACCACAACCTACATGCTCCTCCTCCTCCTCCTCCTCCACACACTCTGACCACAACCTACATGCTCCTCCTCCTCCTCCACCACACACTCTGACCACAACCTACATGCTCCTCCTCCTCCTCCACCACACACTCTGACCACAACCTACATGCTCCTCCTCCTCCTCCACCACACACTCTGACCACAACCTACATGCTCCTCCTCCTCCTCCTCCACACACTCTGACCACAACCTACATGCTCCTCCTCCTCCTCCACCACACACTCTGACCACAACCTACATGCTCCTCCTCCACCTCCTCCACACACTCTGACCACAACCTACATGCTCCTCCTCCTCCTCCTCCTCCACACACTCTGACCACAACCTACATGCTCCTGCTCCTCCTCCTCCACACACTCTGACCACAACCTACATGCTCCTCCTCCTCCTCCTCCACACACACTCTGACCACAACCTACATGCTCCTCCTCCACCTCCTCCACACACTCTGACCCACAACCTACATGCTCCTCCTCCACCTCCTCCACACACTCTGACCACAACCTACATGCTCCTCCTCCACCTCCTCCACACACTCTGACCACAACCTACATGCTCCTCCTCCTCCTCCTCCTCCACACACTCTGACCACAACCTACATGCTCCTCCTCCACCTCCTCCACACACTCTGACCACAACCTACATGCTCCTCCTCCACCTCCTCCACACACTCTGACCACAACCTACATGCTCCTCCTCCACCTCCTCCACACACTCTGACCACAACCTACATGCTCCTCCTCCTCCTCCTCCTACCACACACTCTGACCACAACCTACATGCTCCTGCTCCTCCTCCTCCACACACTCTGACCACAACCTACATGCTCCTCCTCCACCACACACTCTGACCACAACCTACATGCTCCTGCTCCTCCTCCTCCACACACTCTGACCACAACCTACATGCTCCTCCTCCTCCTCCTCCACACACTCTGACCACAACCTACATGCTCCTCCTCCTCCTCCACCACACACTCTGACCACAACCTACATGCTCCTCCTCCTCCACACACTCCTGACCACACACCTACATGCAACCTACATCCTCCTCTCCTCCTCCTCCACACACTCTGACCACAACCTACATGCTCCTCCTCCTCCTCCTCCTCCACACACTCTGACCACAACCTACATGCTCCTCCTCCTCCTCCACCACACACTCTGACCACAACCTACATGCTCCTCCTCCTCCTCCTCCACACACTCTGACCACAACCTACATGCTCCTCCTCCTCCTCCTCCACACACTCTGACCACAACCTACATGCTCCTCCTCCTCCTCCTCCTCCACACACTCTGACCACAACCTACATGCTCCTCCTCCTCCTCCACCACACACTCTGACCACAACCTACATGCTCCTCCTCCTCCTCCACCACACACTCTGACCACAACCTACATGCTCCTCCTCCTCCTCCACCACACACTCTGACCACAACCTACATGCTCCTCCTCCTCCACACACTCTGACCACAACCTACATGCTCCTGCTCCTCCTCCTCCACACACTCTGACCACAACCTACATGCTCCTCCTCCTCCTCCTCCACACACTCTGACCACAACCTACATGCTCCTCCTCCTCCTCCTCCACACACTCTGACCACAACCTACATGCTCCTCCTCCACCACACACTCTGACCACAACAAGGTGTTTTATGCCCAAAATCCACTGCACTCACAGTAGCATGAACGTTGGACATACAGTGTTTGCTAATGCTTTTATAATATGTTTTTGATGTGGATATTCAGGCTCAACATTGACAATAACAGCGCTCACACACCTGTTTCGCAGCTCCTCCTCTTCCTCCTCTGGTCACACTCCTCTCTCCTCCTCCTCATACGGAAGACGCGAGTATCCATCTCTCCGTACACTGGGCTCATTCCCGTTACTTTCTTCACTCAGACACTGCTAAAGTTATCTGACAGCTCCGTAAAGGACCCGCTGCGTACATAGCTGCCCTCGCGCCTGCCTGTTTACAAATCGCTTTTGGTGAAAATTTGACTTCACTTGTAATAATGTACTTTTGAACAAAAGAAATCAGAGGTCCAGAGAAAGGGGTTTAGGGGTCCGAATTTGGAGCGCAGTCCGCCCTTTGGGGACTCTTGAACTAGTATATTTATTTAATAAAAAAAATTAAAAAAGGAAGGATTGCGAGGCCCTGTGTGGTGCGAGGCCCTGTGCGACCTGTGCGACGGCACAGGCCGCACAGCCCTTCCGACGGGCCTGCCTACACACAAATACGTACACACACCACAGGACAACAGCCACATGAGACACACATACAATGAATCCACAAACAAAAATGAAACTCAAAAGAAAAGTTGATTTGAGGTTGTTGAGAGAACTGTTCCATTCTATCGATACATGTCATAAAACCCACAGCGGCCAACAGTGAGAGAGGGGGCTTCCCTCTTGTGGCAATCGTCTTTTTGGGAGGCTAAGTCCCTGGACTCCTGCTGGGACTCTGAGGAGCACAGGGACTGGACTCCTGCTGGGACTCTGAGGAGCACAGGGACTGGACTCCTGCTGGGACTCTGAGGAGCACAGGAACTGGACTCCTGCTGGGACTCTGAGGAGCACAGGGACTGGACTCCTACTGGGACTCTGAGGAGCACAGGAACTGGACTCCTGCTGGGACTCTGAGGAGCACAGGGACTGGCCTCCTGCTGGGACTCTGAGGAGCACACAGGGACTCTGAGGAGCACAGGACTGGCCTCCTGCTGGGACTCTGAGGAGCACAGGGACTGGCCTCCTGCTGGGACTCTGAGGAGCACAGGGACTGAGGAGCCCCCTCCTGCTGGGACTCTGAGGAGCACAGGGACTCCCCTCCTGCTGGGACTCTGAGGAGCACAGGGACTGGACTCCTGCTGGGACTCTGAGGAGCACAGGAACTGGACTCCTGCTGGGACTCTGAGGAGCACAGGGACTGGACTCCTGCTGGGACTCTGAGGAGCACAGGGACTGGCCTCCTGCTGGGACTCTGAGGAGCACAGGGACTGGCCTCCTGCTGGGACTCTGAGGAGCACAGGGACTGGCCTCCTGCTGGGACTCTGAGGAGCACAGGGACTGGACTCCTGCTGGGACTCTGAGGAGCACAGGGACTGGCCTCCTGCTGGGACTCTGAGGAGCACAGGGACTGGCCTCCTGCTGGGACTCTGAGGAGCACAGGGACTGGACTCCTGCTGGGACTCTGAGGAGCACAGGGACTGGACTCGTGCTGGGACTCTGAGGAGCACAGGGACTGGCCTCGTGCTGGTCCCAGAGTCAGGACTAAACATGGGTGGGGGGTAACATTTTCATATATATGCAGCTAATATCTGGAACAACCTTCGTGAAAATGTGAGACAGTCTTCTACTCTGATAATGTTCAAATGTTTATAATGATTTATGCCTTGGGTATGAACTGTACGATACAAATAACCTTGCCTTGCCTTTCCTATCCCAGTGGTTTCAAGATCCCGTAGGTTTTGTGAGACAGGACTAAAACTCTTCATTAATCCCACAGACTGGAGTGTGGTTTTGGGGTCTCCTGCCTCTAACCAGCCTCAGTCTGTCCTCGGGGTGTTTCCTCAGACTGGGATCACTCACCAGACTTCCCTGCAGGATCTTGGGCCTCTCCAGAGCCACGGTGATGCAGTTGGAGAAGATGAAAGCCAACACCACGTAGTCAAACAGCTTATGTGCGATGATGGACTGGCACATCCGCCGGAATCTAAAAGAGGAGAGAGCAGGAATGTTTCACAGAGAGAAAGGAGAGGAGCTGTATTTCTTCATGAGCTTTGAATGAGTGAGGGGAGATGGTTTACTGAAGGGGTGAGGAGGTGAAGGAGGAGGCTGAGGAGGTGATGGAGTAGGCTGAGGAGGTGAAGGAGGAGGCTGAAGAGGTGATGGAGGAGGCTGAGGAGGTGATGGAGGAGACTGAGGAGGTGATGGAGGAGGCTGAGGAGGTGATGGAGTAGGCTGAGGAGGTGAAGGAGGAGGCTGAAGAGGTGATGGAGGAGGCTGAGGAGGTGATGGAGGAGGCTGAGGAGGTGATGGAGGAGGCTGAGGAGGTGATGGAGGAGGCTGAGGAGGTGATGGAGGAGGCTGAGGAGGTGAAGGAGGAGGCTGAGGAGGTGATGGAGGAGGCTGAGGAGGTGAAGGAGGAGGCTGAAGAGGTGATGGAGGAGGCTGAGGAGGTGAAGGAGGAGGCCGAGGAAGTGATGGGGGAGGCTGAGGAGGTGAAGGAGGAGGTGATGGAGGAGGCTGAGGAGGTGATGGAGGAGGCTGAGGAGGTGATGGAGGAGGCTGAGGAGGTGATGGAGGAGGCTGGAGGTCCTGCGGTGACGGTGGAGATGAGGAGGTGGATGGTTTGAGTTGAGATGGAAGTCTGATGGAGGAAAGTCATACAAGAAAATGTTACACCGAAATCTACAGCCTCAGTCCTGGGTCTACAGCCTCAGTCCTGGGTCTACAGCCTCAGTCCTGGGTCTACAGCCTCAGTCCTGGATCTACAGCCTCAGTCCTGGATCTACAGGCTCAGTCCTGGGTCTACAGCCTCAGTCCTGGGTCTACAGCCTCAGTCCTGGGTCTACAGCCTCAGTCCTGGGTCTACAGCCTCAGTCCTGGGTCTACAGCCTCAGTCCTGGATCTACAGCCTCAGTCCTGGTTCTACAGCCTCAGTCCTGGGTCTACAGCCTCAGTCCTGGGTCTACAGCCTCAGTCCTGGGTCTACAGCCTCAGTCCTGGATCTACAGCCTCAGTCCTGGATCTACAGTCTCAGTCCTGGGTCTACAGCCTCAGTCCTGGGTCTACAGCCTCAGTCCTGGGTCTACAGCCTCAGTCCTGGATCTACAGCCTCAGTCCTGGATCTACAGGCTCAGTCCTGGGTCTACAGGCTCAGTCCTGGGTCTACAGCCTCAGTCCTGGGTCTACAGCCTCAGTCCTGGGTCTACAGCCTCAGTCCTGGGTCTACAGCCTCAGTCCTGGGTCTACAGCCTCAGTCCTGGTTCTACAGCCTCAGTCCTGGGTCTACAGCCTCAGTCCTGGGTCTACAGCCTCAGTCCTGGGTCTACAGCCTCAGTCCTGGATCTACAGCCTCAGTCCTGGATCTACAGTCTCAGTCCTGGGTCTACAGCCTCAGTCCTGGGTCTACAGCCTCAGTCCTGGATCTACGGCCTCAGTCCTGGGTCTACAGCCTCAGTCCTGGATCTACAGCCTCAGTCCTGGGTCTACAGCCTCAGTCCTGGGTCTACAGCCTCAGTCCTGGGTCTACAGCCTCAGTCCTGGGTCTACAGCCTCAGTCCTGGATCTACAGCCTCAGTCCTGGGTCTACAGGCTCAGTCCTGGATCTACAGCCTCAGTCCTGGAAATCGGTCACTGCCTTTTATGGACCAACGGCTCAAAAGCTCCGTTCCACATGTGTGTCAATGCTGAGTGTTCTGGACCAGTCTAGTTTAGTCGCTGTGGACTTCAGAATGCACTCGTTTAAATGAATGGGGCTCGTGCAGCTGACGTATGCACAGATGGGAAAAGTGTTGGCACATTAATTTCAACGGCGGAGAGGCGTGACCACGTTCGTTACTATTTACAGTCTATGGAAAAAACCGCATTTGTGAATTTGTGCCGCATTCATTTGACTTCAACATTTCACAGAAACTAAACTGGTCCAAATAAACACACCCCTCAGCATTGACACACATGTGGAACCGAGCTTTGGGCCAAGAGACAACTTTTGGACCATCCTGTAAAGACGTTTTCCAGAGGTCAGAAGATGCTATATGTTAGCATTGGCTAATTCTTATTCCGGGTCCTCCCCCACAGGCCCGGGGTGGTACTGCAGCATGTCAGCGCACGTCATTTTGGACACTTTTGAGCCGGGACCCGCCCTCACTGGTCTGAACTGTCTCTGATCAGTGTTGGCGAATCAACAGCTTTGTGAAATCCTCTGAGATAACACTGCTGTGATTTAGGGCTATACAAAACTGAATCAAATGGAATTGATTGACACGTAAAAGGAAAGATGACTCACTTGTTCTGGGGGGAGAAGAGGAAGACGGACCAATCCTCTCGGCTCTCGCACCAGTCTGGTCTGTAAGCCTCCAGCATCTTTTGGATCCGGAAACACAGGCTCTGCAAACACAACAGCACACACAGATGAGCCGGGACATACGCTCTCCATAATCACACACAAATCGCACAATGTTCCGGCCAAACACGCAGCCAGATTGGACACCAGCAGAATATGACAACAGATTCTCATTTGGATTGGTTTTTTGTCCTGTTTGCAAATCTGTGTAGACGTTGCCTTCTAGACTTGGACTTTTCACTGTACAGGCTCATGTATTGTTTATGTAATGAGGAAGCTTTGTTCTGTACATGATAAAATATGTACACACAGTATACACATGTCCTCTGGTCCTGTCTGTGCTGGACTAATGCAGCTTCAATGGGACATACTAGTCCCTCTGTTCAAGGCCTTTCAGCTTTTCTGTCCACAGTCCACACAAAGCAACACTAAAATATATTTGAGATGAGGAGAAATCCGAGGCACTCTTGACATTTAAACAAAAATCTCTCTTTTTCCACTGTTTATCCTGATGAGCCCCTGACACAGTTAGACCCAGTGCAGAACTCATCTCTCTTCAACCACTAACATATGTTTATATTTGTAAAAGGAATGCTGTGTTGGGATATTTGCCTCGGTCCAAAGCTCAGTAATTGCTTTTAAACTCGAAATTAAGTTGTGTTTTGTTTTTATACTAAGTCGTAGTAGCTGCAGAGAAGTGTTGTTACTTTTCTGGTAGAAGATGGATGAAGCTGAAGCTGAATCTGAATCTGAAGCTGAAGCTGAAGCTGAATCTGAATCTGAATCTGAAGCTGAAGCTGAATCTGAATCTGAATCTGAAGCTGAAGCTGAAGCTGAATCTGAAGCTGAGGCTGAGGCTGAGGCTGAATCTGAATCTGAAGCTGAATTTGAATCTGAAGCTGAATCTGAAGCTGAATCTGAATCTGAAGCTGAATCTGAAGCTGAATCTGAATCTGAAGCTGAAGCTGAATCTGAATCTGAATCTGAAGCTGAATCTGAAGCTGAAGCTGAATCTGAAGCTGAATCTGAAGCTGAAGCTGAATCTGAAGCTGAAGCTGAAGCTGAATCTGAAGCTGAATCTGAATCTGAAGCTGAATCTGAAGCTGAAGCTGAATCTGAATCTGAAGCTGAAGCCGGCACCACGTCAGACAAAAGTACATTTTACAGATGGACAGACTCCCATTATCTAGAGTTTATTGAAAACGTGGATAGTAAAACAGTTAAGTGCACTTCATATTGAGGTACATTTTGTGTATATATATATTTGGTGAAAGTCAAAGTAATGCAGAGGTAGTGTAACTCTTTAAGAATAACAGTAACAAGTATTACATGTATTGAGTTTGTGCAGTAACTTGTCCCAGACTTTTCCAATAAAACTATACACCGCACCTTAGCTTGGATTTCAGGTTTATCCTCAATCTAGTGAATCCCACACTGGTCTGTGTGCAGTCATCCAAGCCGGTCCGGTCCAATACAAACCCAGTCCCTTACACCTCAGCCGTGCACTGGTTTGGAGTCTAAATTATTAACACAACACAAACAGTGGCATGGGAGCATCTCTTCACATTAGCATCTGCGCCGCACTCACCCTGCTGTCTGAATAATTAACCTTGTTCTGCACATATACACACACATATACACACATATACACACATACACACACACACACACACACACACGCACACGTTTGTTTACAATAGAAACAATATATTATAGAGGATTCCCCAGAGAACAGACTAAACACTTGAAAGAGAAGGCAGGGGACGATAGCTGCGCTCTGGAAACACTGAACATGTGGTGACGATGAGGAGGCTGTGAGTGTGTGAGGAGCCGAGGGAACCTGGGGCGTGAGAGAAAAGACCAGAGTGATTATGGAGGCGATGGCTGTCGGTGTCAGGACATGTGGTGCATCATGGGAGAAGAACTATCATAATTAGACATGAATCCAATCTAAAGTATCATCAAAACTCTATTATTGTCCAAATAAAGTGGTCATTTTAAGAAGTATTTCAAGAATTTTAAGTGCACTTGTGTATTAGTCATTTTTCAGAAACACTATGTTGATGGTTCTTTTAATGCATTAATTATTTCTTTTTGCACCGACAGCCAAAGCTATTTCCCAGTTTGTGACTTCCTGTTACTCACAAATACGGTACAAAGAATTTGGATTCTTCACAAATTGAGAGTAAGTGTTTTCCAAGCTCATGGGTGACATTTTCTAAAAGGGATTTCTGAAATCTGCAGTGTTTGTGTGTGTTTGTGTGCGTGTGCATGTGTGTGTGTGTGTGTGTGTGTGTTTGTGTGTGTTTGTGTGCGTGTGCATATGTGTGTGTGTGTGTGGGTTTGTGTGTATGTGTTTGTTTGTGTGTGTGTGTGCATGTGTGCGTGTGTGTGTGTGCGTGAGTATGTGTTTGTGTGTGAGCGTAACAGTGCTGTACGCACATGCCTGCAGCCGAGTTGTTTACGTTCATACACAATAAAAACACACACTTAAAACGCATGAGATTAAACAAAGTGAATTCTCTGATCTGTGTTGGAGAATCGACAGCTTTGTAAAGTCCGCACAGAAAACTGTGATTTTGGGCTGTACACAAATACTTTTTGCCAAAGGATTTTCCAGTGTTGCATTAAAGACCTTATGCCGGGTTTGATTTATTTAGAAATACAGTTTTAATACCATTTTATATTAGAAGAGAACTACTAAAGGTTTCAAAATCAGTTGTTTTTTTTGTCTGATTCCCCCAAATCGAAATAACCCCATAGCAACGCCCTTAGAGACGAAAAAACTTCACAGCCCTTGGTGACGTCAGAACGGGTACGTTTCAACGCTGTAAGTTGTTTACAATTTGGTATTCGTTCTTTCGCGGATATTCAAGACAACAAGGCCGTGTACAGCGAGTCTGACATAAATACTAGATTGTAGTTCTTCGTTGTCACTGAGATAGTCCAGTGGTTGTGTCGATGAACTGCCAATCCAAATACTGGGGTTCAAATCCCACCTCGGACACTTTTTCACTCTCAAAACGGCAATTTATGTGTAGTGAGCAATTGTCACCTGTAGAGGGCAGTATTGTGTTGGGCATCAGTGGAGAGAAGAGAGAAAAGGCAGTCCTGTGGCATAGATCCATGGTTTTCAATGCATGGGCGTTACCCGCTGTGACGTCACACACAGGTTAGAGCATAGACAACTTAAATTCATGAAAAACACCTTCTTTTTATAAAATATAGGATTTTTTTTGCCGGAATCTCTTTCAGATTGACATTGTCATGCAATTTTGATATCCACAATTTTTTTTTTTTAAACCCGGCATAAGGTCTTTAACTTTGCATCATGGAGCATTGACATCAGAGCTTCCCTGATGTCACATTTCCACTGTGGACCTCACCGTGAGCTCAGAGGAACTGTTACTGTTCTCCTGCTGAGCTGCGTGGATCTACCTCCTCCTCCTCCTCCTCCTGCTCCTCCTCCTGCTGCTCCTCCTCTTCCTCCTCCTCCTCCGCTGTAAACCCATAAACCCTGACTCATCATTAGTATTTCTTGCTTTCATCACTACATTGTCAGTCCTGTATCTACAGCCTGTTTGTCTGTGGGAGCGGGTCCCTCCCTCAATGTGGGTTTTAGAGCTGTTCCTCTGATGCAGGAGACTCTAAGGTCCATACGGTCAACCCTGTGGACCGTATGGACCAATGGCTCTATGTGTTTTTATCATTCCAAAACCTGTGTTTGAACGATCTGTGTTAGCGAATCAACAGTTATGATTTGGAGCTATACAAAAGTAAATTTATCAAGCACCAACAATAATATACAACATTTTTAGTCCAACGCTTCCAAAGAGTACAGGGAACTTTGCACAGGTCCTTTGCTGTTAATGTTGAGCTGTCCAAGCAGACCAAGCGTAAATAATCTTTTATTTTATTTTATTGCAAATAAAGCATTTAACATTTCATTCTGAAGCAGAACAGAGAAAATGGTCCAAACCAAGCAGACTCTGCAAACATCAACCACTGTGTATATTAAGACTCAGACTCAGAGCATCCACTACACACTGCTTTGGCTGTTTTCAGACTGAACCACAGACACTTTGATTTGATTGAAGACAAACACTCAACCTTCCTCTGACCATCTGTTTGTGTTTGGCTCGACTGGGCTTGTTTCCAGACTATTATCTGGACTAAAACAGGAAACTGGTCTGATCTGAAGTGGTTTCTGGAGGTCATTTATAAGACCATAACACACTTTTACATGTGCTTTTTACTTTTGCTTTGTATTGTCAAACTCATTGTGACGCTCTGTAGGTCCTGTGGATATACTGTGTGTGTAAAAGACTGGGATGAAGTCAGGGCCTCACCGACCTCACCGACCTCACCGACCTCACCGACCTCACCGACTTCACCGCACGTCACAGGCCCCGGGTCAAAGCAGCACAAGTTTGATCTATTTTAGATGATGCAGATCTGATTTATATGAATGCCTCAACTCAAAGTCTTCCTCAGATTGTCACTTTGTATCATTCTTCTCTGAGGTTCATTACAAACTGCAAAGCCTCAGTGTGCATTATATTCTGGAGTGGGATCTTTGTCCACAGAAGGTTTGGACTCTGGTGCACTTTAGTTTCTAAGGCTTGGTCTGCTGCCCTCTGACATCTGTCGTTCACTCACAGAGACATGTTCATGTTTGGATCAAAGGATCTTTTGTTGCTCTCTGTTCCTTTTGCACAGAACTGGGAAAAAATATTTTGTATTTGCTGCTCCTTCTACATGGAACGTGTTGCAAAAAGACTGGAAATGATCTGGACTTATTTCACTGAATGCTTTTAGATCCAGACTGAGACGTCCTCATTGAAATGTAACTGTTTTTATAATCAGGATTTATATGTAACTGTAACTTTTGTCCAGGACTCCATTGAAAAAAACAGTTCTTAATCTCAATGGGACTTTCCTGTTGAAATGAAGGTTAAATAAAATATAAAAACACTGTTTTTATCCCACACTCACATATTCCAGGTCGTCGTCCATGTCGTCCCGGTCCTTGGTGCGGGGGTTGACCTGGGGGTAGACCTCTGTGCGCAGCTGGTTGTGGCCGGGGCCCCTGGCTCCGTGCTCGTCGGGGCCCCTCTCTCCGTGCTCGCTGTGGTGTGGGGTGGAGCAGTGTGGGAGCTGGGACAGGGGCGTCTTTCCGTTGCAGTCCTGGTGCAGTCTCTCCCCAGAGAAGCTCATCTGTCTGTGGGGGAAGGAGCCATGAGTGATTACAGTTTCTAGAAGTCAGTGACTTCTTTCCAGTACCCTGTGGCCGCCATCATTTGGGCAACTTCAGCTCCGCCAAATATAAATCTTTGGCTAATGATCTTTGATCCAACATTATCTCTGGAACTGTGGTTTTTTGTGCATCATTATCTTTTTAAATAACACATTACAGGAATTTTGCTTTCTCTTTTCTAGCCGTAAATGTTCTTAGTTTTAATTTGATCCAGACCAGAGCAAAGAGGATGGTCCCAACCAAACAAACTCTGCAAAGAAAGCAGCTCACCACCAGCGGCTGCACCACCTGCGGCTGCACCACCTGCGGCTGCACCACCTGCGGCTGCACCACCTGCGGCTGCACCACCAGCGGCTGCACCACCTGCGGCTGCACCACCTGCGGCTGCACCACCTGCGGCTGCACCACCTGCGGCTGCACCACCAGCGGCTGCACCACCTGCGGCTGCACCACCTGCGGCTGCACCACCTGCGGCTGCACCACCTGCGGCTGCACCACCTGCGGCTGCACCACCAGCGGCTGCACCACCTGCGGCTGCACCATCAGCGGCTGCACCACCTGCGGCTGCACCACCTGCGGCTGCACCTCCTGCGGCTGCACCACCTGTGGCTGCACCACCTGCGGCTGCACCACCAGCGGCTGCACCACCAGCGGCTGTGACCCAAAGTTCTGATGCTCTGTATTACTGTTGTCAGTAACTTTTGTTTGTTTTCATGCAGCTGCTGACACCTGAGCGCCTCGTACGAGGATCAATAAAGAATCCATCGATCTTTAAACAATGTGAAACCATCTGATGTGAACTCCCAGACTGTACACATGGTGTGGACACATGGTGTGGACACATGGTGTGGACCATCACTCACCTCTGAGCGTATGGCAGCGCGGTCGGCCCCTGGTCTGGCACCTGCAGGAGGTTGGGCAGCTCCAGGGACAGTGCTCTACGGTCTCTGCCCCGGCCCCCCAGAGGGCCCCCCACATACCCCGACAGCACGTGAGGAGACAGGTGGTGCAGCGAGGGCGGGGTGAGGAGAGACTCCTCCTCTTCCTCCTCCTGCCGGCCGTGCTGGATGTGCCTCCGGGGGGAGGAGGACGCCCGGGGCCCTCGGATCCGCAGGCTGCCCCCCATGGCGTGGGCGTAGCTGTAGATGAGTTTGGGGGTGGAGGCGGGGGTGTAGCTGGGGCTGGAGGAGGGGGAGGAGGCTGAGAACGGCCTGACTCCGCCCACACTGTTCCAGCTGGAGCGACGAGCCCAGAGATGGTGAGGGTGAGGAGGGGGGAGGTGGCGGCCCCAGTTGTGGTACGGCCGACCCGGGAACTATAACGAGAGGATAAGCAGGTGAGGAGGGTGAGGAGGGTGAGGAGGGTGAGGAGGGTGAGGAGGTGAGGAGGGTTAGGAGGGTGAGGAGGGTGAGGAGGGTGAGGAGGTGAGGAGGGTTAGGAGGTGAGGAGGGTGAGGAGGGTGAGGAGGGTGAGGAGGTGAGGAGGGTGAGGAAGGTGAGGAAGGTGAGAAGGGTGAGGAAGGTGAGGAGGGTGAGGAGGTGAGGAGGGTGAGGAGGTGAGTGAGGGGTGGTGAGGGGTGAGGAGGTGAGGAGGTGAGGAGGTGAGGAGGTGGTGAGGAGGTGAGGAGGTGGGAGGAGGAGGTGAGGAGGGTGAGGAGGGTGAGGAGGGTGAGGAGGGTGAGGAGGGTGAGGAGGTGGTGAGGAGGGTGAGGAGGGTGAGGAGGGTGAGGAGGTGAGGAGGGTGAGGAGGGTGAGGAGGTGAGTGAGGGGTGAGGAGGGTGAGGAGGGTGAGGAGGGTGGAGGTGAGGTGAGGTGAGGATGAGGGTGAGGAGGTGAGGAGGTGAGGAGGTGGGAGGTGAGGGGTGAGGAGGTGAGGAGGGTGAGGAGGGTGAGGAGGTGAGGAGGTGAGGAGGTGAGGAGGTGAGGAGGTGAGGAGGGTGAGGAGGGTGAGGAGGGTGAGGAGGGTGAGGAGGTGAGGGTGAGGGGTGAGGGAGGGTGAGGAGGGTGAGGAGGTGAGGAGGGTGAGGAGGTGAGGAGGGTGAGGAGGTGAGGAGGGTGAGGAGGTGAGGGGTGAGGAGGGTGAGGAGGGTGAGGAGGGAGTGAGGGAGGAGGTGAGGAGGTGAGGAGGGTGAGGAGGTGAGGAGGGTGAGGAGGGTGAGGAGGTGAGGAGGTGAGGAGGTGAGGAGGTGAGGAGGTGAGGAGGGTGAGGAGGTGAGGAGGTGAGGAGGTGAGGAGGTGAGGAGGGTGAGGAGGTGAGGAGGTGAGGAGGGTGAGGAGGTGAGGGGGTGAGGAGGGTGAGGAGGTGAGGAGGGTGAGGAGGGTGAGGAGGGTGAGGAGGGTGAGGGGGGAGGTGAGGAGGGTGAGGGAGGGTGAGGAGGTGAGGAGGGTGAGGAGGTGAGGAGGGGGAGAGGAGGGTGAGGAGGGTGAGGAGGGTGAGGAGGGTGAGGAGGGTGAGGAGGGTGAGGAGGTGAGGAGGGTGAGGAGGGTGAGGAGGTGAGGAGGGTGAGGAGGGTGAGGAGGTGAGGAGGGTGAGGAGGTGAGGAGGGTGAGGAGGTGAGGAGGGTGAGGAGGGTGAGGAGGGTGAGGAGGTGGTGAGGGGGTGAGGAGGGTGAGGAGGGTGAGGAGGGTGAGGAGGGTGAGGAGGGTGAGGAGGTGAGGAGGTGGGAGGTGAGGAGGGTGAGGAGGGTGGGGGTGAGGAGGGGAGGAGGTGAGGAGGGTGAGGAGGGTGAGGAGGGTGAGGAGGTGAGGAGGGGGGAGGGGTGAGGAGGGTGAGGGGAGGTGAGGGGTGAGGAGGGTGAGAGGGGGTGAGGAGGGGGTGAGGAGGGTGAGGAGGTGAGGAGGGTGAGGGGGTGAGGAGGGTGAGGAGGTGAGGAGGGTGAGGTGAGGAGGGTGAGGAGGGTGAGGAGGGTGAGGAGGGTGAGGAGGGTGAGGAGGGTGAGGGGGGTGAGGAGGGTGAGGAGGGTGAGGAGGGTGAGGAGGTGAGGGGGTGAGGAGGGTGAGGAGGTGAGGGGTGAGGAGGGTGAGGAGGGTGAGGAGGGTGAGGAGGGGGAGGGTGAGGAGGGTGAGGAGGGTGAGGAGGGTGAGGAGGTGAGGGGTGAGGAGGGTGAGGAGGGTGAGGAGGGTGAGGGGGTGAGGAGGGTGAGGAGGGTGAGGAGGTGAGGGGGTGAGGAGGGTGAGGAGGGTGAGGAGGGTGAGGAGGGTGAGGAGGGTGAGGAGGGTGAGGAGGGTGAGGAGGGTGAGGAGGGTGAGGAGGGTGAGGAGGGTGAGGAGGGTGAGGAGGGTGAGGAGGGTGAGGAGGGTGAGGAGGGTGAGGGGGTGAGGAGGGTGAGGGGGGAGGGGTGAGGAGGGTGAGGAGGGTGAGGAGGGTGAGGAGGGTGAGGAGGGGAGGAGGGAGGGTGAGGAGGGTGAGGAGGTGAGGAGGGTGAGGAGGGGGGGGTGAGGAGGGTGAGGAGGTGAGGAGGGTGAGGAGGGAGAGGGGAGGGGGGAGGAGGTGAGGAGGGTGAGGAGGTGAGGGAGGGGTGAGGAGGGTGAGGAGGAGGGTGAGGAGGTGAGGAGGGTGAGGAGGGTGAGGAGGGTGAGGAGGGTGAGGAGGGTGAGGAGGGTGGGAGGGAGGGTGGGAGGGTGAGGAGGTGAGGAGGTGAGGGGGTGAGGAGGTGTGAGGGGGGTGAGGAGGGTGAGGAGGGTGAGGAGGTGAGGAGGGTGAGGAGGGTGAGGAGGTGAGGAGGGTGAGGAGGGTGAGGAGGGTGAGGAGGGTGAGGAGGGTGAGGGAGGGTGAGGAGGGTGAGGAGGGGTGAGGAGGGTGAGGAGGGTGAGGGAGGTGAGGAGGGTGAGGAGGGTGAGGAGGGGGTGAGGAGGTGAGGGTGAGGAGGGTGAGGAGGGTGAGGAGGTGAGGAGGGTGAGGAGGTGAGGAGGTGAGGAGGGTGAGGGTGAGGAGGGTGAGGAGGGTGAGGAGGGTGAGGAGGGTGAGGAGGGTGAGGGGTGAGGAGGGGAGGAGGGTGAGGAGGGTGAGGGAGGGTGAGGAGGGTGAGGAGGTGAGGAGGTGAGGAGGGTGAGGAGGGTGAGGAGGTGAGGAGGGTGAGGAGGGTGAGGAGGTGAGGAGGGTGAGGAGGGTGAGGAGGGTGAGGAGGTGAGGAGGGTGAGGAGGGTGAGGAGGGTGAGGAGGGTGAGGAGGGTGAGGAGGGTGAGGAGGTGAGGAGGGTGAGGAGGGTGAGGAGGGTGAGGAGGGTGAGGAGGGTGAGGAGGGTGAGGAGGGTGAGGAGGGTGAGGAGGTGAGGAGGGTGAGGAGGGTGAGGAGGGTGAGGAGGGTGAGGAGGTGAGGAGGGTGAGGAGGGTGAGGAGGGTGAGGAGGGTGAGGAGGGTGAGGAGGGTGAGGAGGGTGAGGAGGGTGAGGAGGGTGAGGAGGGTGAGGAGGGTGAGGAGGGTGAGGAGGGTGAGGAGGGTGAGGAGGGTGAGGAGGTGAGGAGGTGAGGAGGGTGAGGAGGTGAGGAGGGTGAGGAGGGAGGGAGGAGGTGAGGAGGGTGAGGAGGGTGAGGAGGGTGAGGAGGGTGAGGAGGGTGAGGAGGTGAGGAGGTGAGGAGGGTGAGGAGGGTGAGGAGGGAGGAGGAGGTGAGGAGGGTGAGGAGGGTGAGGAGGGTGAGGAGGGTGAGGAGGGGGTGGGAGGTGAGGAGGTGAGGAGGGTGAGGAGGGTGAGGAGGGTGAGGAGGGTGAGGAGGTGAGGAGGGTGAGGAGGGTGAGGAGGGTGAGGAGGGGGAGGAGGGTGAGGAGGGTGAGTGAGGGTGAGGGGGGTGAGGAGGGTGAGGAGGTGAGGAGGGTGAGGTGAGGGGTGAGGAGGGTGAGGAGGTGAGGAGGGTGAGGAGGTGAGGAGGGTGAGGAGGTGAGGAGGGTGAGGAGGGTGAGGAGGGTGAGGAGGGTGAGGAGGGTGAGGAGGGTGAGGAGGGTGAGGAGGGTGAGGAGGGTGAGGAGGGTGAGGAGGGTGAGGAGGGTGAGGAGGGTGAGGAGGGTGAGGAGGGTGAGGAGGGTGAGGAGGGTGAGGAGGTGAGGAGGTGAGGAGGGAGGAGGTGAGGAGGGTGAGGAGGTGAGGAGGTGAGGAGGGGTGAGGAGGGTGAGGGTGAGGAGGTGAGGAGGGTGAGGAGGGTGAGGAGGTGAGGGTGGAGGTGAGGAGGGGGGGGGTGAGGAGGGTGAGGAGGGTGAGGAGGGGGTGAGGAGGTGAGGAGGTGAGGAGGGTGAGGAGGGTGAGGAGGTGAGGAGGTGAGGAGGTGAGGAGGTGAGGAGGGTGAGGAGGGTGAGGAGGGTGAGGAGGGTGAGGAGGGTGAGGGGGTGAGGAGGGTGAGGAGGGTGAGGAGGGAGATGAGGGGGTGAGGAGGTGAGGAGGGTGAGGAGGGTGAGTGAGGAGGGTGAGGAGGGTGAGGAGGGTGAGGGGTGAGGAGGGTGAGGAGGGTGAGGGGTGAGGAGGGTGAGGAGGGTGAGGAGGGTGAGGAGGTGAGGAGGTGAGGAGGTGAGGAGGTGAGGAGGGTGAGGAGGGTGAGGAGGGTGAGGAGGGTGAGGAGGGTGAGGAGGGTGAGGAGGGTGAGGAGGGTGAGGAGGTGAGGAGGTGGAGGGTGAGGAGGGTGAGGAGGTGGTGAGGAGGGTGAGGAGGTGAGGAGGGTGAGGAGGGTGAGGAGGGTGAGGAGGTGAGGAGGGTGAGGAGGGTGAGGAGGGTGAGGAGGGTGAGGAGGGTGAGGAGGGTGAGGAGGTGAGGAGGGTGAGGAGGGTGAGGAGGGTGAGGAGGGTGAGGAGGGTGAGGAGGTGAGGAGGGTGAGGAGGGTGAGGAGGGTGAGGAGGGTGAGGAGTGGTGAGGAGGGTGAGGAGGTGAGGAGGGTGAGGAGGGTGAGGAGGGTGAGGAGGTGAGGAGGTGAGGAGGGTGAGGAGGGTGAGGAGGGTGAGGAGGGTGAGGAGGGTGAGGAGGGTGAGGAGGGTGAGGAGGGTGAGGAGGTGAGGAGGGTGAGGAGGGTGAGGAGGTGAGGAGGGTGAGGAGGAGGTGAGGAGGGTGAGGAGGGTGAGGGGGGTGAGGTGGGTGGAGGAGGTGAGGAGGGTGAGGAGGTGAGGAGGGTGAGGAGGTGAGGAGGGTGAGGAGGGTGAGGAGGTGAGGAGGGTGAGGAGGGTGAGGAGGAGGGTGAGGAGGGTGAGGAGGGGTGAGGAGGGTGAGGAGGGTGAGGAGGTGAGGAGGGTGAGGAGGGTGAGGAGGGTGAGGAGGGTGAGGAGGGTGAGGAGGGTGAGGAGGTGAGGAGGGTGAGGAGGGTGAGGAGGGTGAGGAGGTGAGGAGGGTGAGGAGGGTGAGGAGGGTGAGGAGGGTGAGGATGGTGAGGAGGGTGAGGAGGGTGAGGAGGGTGAGGAGGGTGAGGAGGGTGAGGAGGGTGAGGAGGGTGAGGAGGGGGAGGGTGAGGAGGTGAGGAGGGTGAGGAGGGTGAGGAGGTGAGGAGGGTGAGGAGGGTGAGGAGGGTGAGGAGGTGAGGAGGGTGAGGAGGGTGAGGAGGGTGAGGAGGGTGAGGAGGTGAGGAGGGTGAGGAGGGTGAGGAGGTGAGGAGGGTGAGGAGGGTGAGGAGGGTGAGGAGGGTGAGGAGGTGAGGAGGGTGAGGAGGGTGAGGAGGTGAGGAGGGTGAGGAGGGTGAGGAGGGTGAGGAGGTGAGGAGGGTGAGGAGGGTGAGGAGGTGAGGGGTGAGGAGGGTGAGGAGGTGAGGAGGGTGAGGAGGGTGAGGAGGGTGAGGAGGGTGAGGAGGGTGAGGAGGGTGAGGAGGGTGAGGAGGTGAGGAGGTGAGGAGGGTGAGGAGGGTGAGGAGGGTGAGGAGGGTGAGGAGGGTGAGGAGGGTGAGGAGGGTGAGGAGGGTGAGGAGGGTGAGGAGGTGAGGAGGTGAGGAGGGTGAGGAGGGTGAGGAGGTGAGGAGGGTGAGGAGGGTGAGGAGGGTGAGGAGGGTGAGGAGGTGAGGAGGAGGAGGAGGTGAGGAGGGTGAGGAGGTGAGGAGGTGAGGAGGGTGAGGAGGGTGAGGAGGGTGAGGAGGGTGAGGAGGGTGAGGAGGGTGAGGAGGGTGTGTGGAACAGGCAAGTTTATTTGTCATAATCATAAATAATCCCAGTTCGTTAAATAATAGAATATGTTTTTTTTAGGAGTTAATTGTGGTTTTGACCATTTTAAAGAAGAAATATGATGTTGTTATTTTGGGTTATTCTTTATTGATTCATATAATCAGCCTATTTACTTAACTAATGTTTTGTTTTAACAGTAGGACTCCCACACTTCTGAAATGACTAGAACTCCCAGAGCTGTCATTTTGAGAAATTCCTCCAAAAAGTTTTTCACCAGATTTTTACTCTTACTCTTAAAAGCAATAAAATGCTAACTGCTAGCATGTAAACAGTATGTTGCTACGGTAACTCCAACTTGCTCTTCTCTGGTGGACCATGGGAGTTCTGGAGTAAAGATAGAACTAGATAATGTTGTGAAAATAATAAAATAGAAACAACAACAAAAGTTATGAATACCAACAATTTACAGACGACCAGTTATTGCACTTCCAAAGGCCGGTGACCCCTGATGTTATGGCCTGGTCAGACCCGGGTCAGAGTCTGGTTAGACCTGGGTCAGAGTCTGGTTCAACCCAATTAGACCCGGGTCAGAGTCTGGTTAGACCCGGGTCAGAGTCTGTAAGATCCTGGTTAGACCCGGGTCAGAGTCTGGTTAGACCCTGGTTAGACCCTGGTTAGAGTCTGGTTAGACCCTGGTCAGACCCGGGTCAGAGCCTGTTTAAACCCTGTTAGACCCGGGTCAGAGTCTGGTTAGACCCTGGTTAGACCCTGGTCAGACCCGGGTCAGAGTCTGGTTAGAGTCTGGTTAGACCCTGGTCAGAGTCTGGTTAGACCCTGTTCAGACCCAGGCCAGATCTGGGTCAGACCCGGGTCAGAGCCTGGTCAGACCCATGTCAGACCCGAGTCAGAGTCTGGTTAGACCCTGTTCAGACCCGGGCCAGATCTGGGTTAGACCCGGGTCAGAGCCTGGTCAGACCCATGTCAGACCCGAGTCAGAGTCTAGTTAGATCCTGGTCAGACCCGGGCCAGATCTGGGTCAGAGCCGGGTCAGGTAGAGTAAGTACCATTGCTCTCTGGTCCATGTTGCAGAGGGAGATGACACTGTTCTTGCGGGAGCCCAGGGCGTAGGTCCACTTGTTGGCAGGGAACAGGACCGGGGGCAGGGCCGGCAGGTTCAGGTGTCCGTTCGGGGTCAGGGTGCAGATCTTTGGGTCTAAGAACAAAAGGAAGTGTTTAGGAAGAGTTCTGTCTGGTTTTATAACAGCAGTTCTTATATTTAGGTTCTAGAGCAGGGGTCTCAAACTCAAAGTGTATGTGGGCCGCATGAGGTCGAGTCTGGGAGAAGCTGGACCACGTTACAGCAAACAGATCTATAGAGATTCACTTCTCATTCATGAACAGAGAAAGTAGCTCAGAAACATTGAAGCTCCCTGTGCTCTGACCACTGTCCTGTGGTCCTGTGTCTGTGTGTGTCTGTGTGCGTCTGTGTGTGTCTGTGTGTGTCTGTGTGTGTGCTCCCTGTGCTCTGACCACTGTCCTGTCTGTGCGCTGCAACACTGAAATGTCCCCACTGTGGGAAGAGTAAAGGATCTCTTATCTTATCTTAAATGTTTGGGGTCGAAACAGACAAAAACAGGAAAATCAAGAATCAAGTGCTTTTAGAAAGTTTTATAGTTCATTGTTTGTGTCTGTGACTTTTCATGAAAGTATTTTCACAGAATCATGACTTTTATTGAACATGAGTTTGATAAAATTGTTTTATTTTTCTAGGAACAAAATGAGTCCAGCGCCTGTGTATTAGCTTGTGTGTGTGTGTCTGCGTGCGCCTGTGTGTGCGCGTCTGTGTGCGCCTGTGTGTGTGTGTCTGTGTGTGCGCGTCTGTGTGAGCCTGTGTGTGTGTGTCTGTGTGTGCGCGTCTGTGTGCGCCTGTGTGTGTGCGTCTGTGTATTAGCTTGTGTGTGCGCCTGTCTGTGTCTGTGTGTGTGCGTCTGTGTGCGCCTGTGTGTGCATCTGTGTGTGTGTCTGTGTGTGTGTCTGTGTGCGCATGTGTGTGTGCGTCTGTGTGTGTCTGTGTGTGTGCGTCTGTGTGTGTGTGTCTGTGTGTGTGTCTGTGTGCGCATGTGTGTGTGCGTCTGTGTGTGTCTGTGTGTGTGCGCCTGTGTGTGTCTGTGTGCGCCTGTGTGTGCACGTCTGTGTGCACGTCTGTGTGTGTCTGTGTGTGTGCGTCTGCGTGCGCCTGTGTGTGTCTGTGTGTGTGCATCTGTGTGCACCTGTGTGTGTCTGTGTGTGTGCGGCTGTGTGTGTGCGTCTGTGTGTGCATCTGTGTGTGTGTCTGTGTGCGCATGTGTGTGTGCGTCTGTGTGCGACTGTATGTGTCTGTGTGTGTGCGTCTGTGTGTGTCTGTGTGTGTGCGCCTGTGTGTGTCTGTGTGTGTGTGTCTGTGTGTGTGTCTGTCTGTGTGTGTGTGTCTGTGTGTGTGTGTGTGTCTGTCTGTGTGTGTGTGTGTCTGTGTGTGTGTGTGTGTGTGTCTGTGTGTGTGTGTGTCTGTGTGTGTGTGTCTGTGTGTGTGTGTGTCTGTGTGTGTGTGCGTCTGTGTGTGTCTGTGTGTGTGCGCCTGTGTGTGTCTGTGTGTGTGTGTCTGTGTGTGTGTCTGTCTGTGTGTGTGTGTCTGTGTGTGTGTGTGTGTCTGTCTGTGTGTGTGTGTGTCTGTGTGTGTGTGTGTATGTGTCTGTGTGTGTGTGTGTCTGTGTGTGTGTGTGTGTCTGTGTGTGACTGTGTGTGTGTCTGTGTGTGTGTGTGTGTCTGTGTGTGACTGTGTGTGTGTCTGTGTGTGTGTCTGTGTCTGTCTATGTGTCTGTGTGTGTGTCTGTGTCTGTCTATGTGTCTGTGTGTGTGTCTGTGTCTGTCTATGTGTGTGTGTGTCTGTGTGAGCCTGTGTGTGTGTGTCTGTGTGTGCGCGTCTGTGTGTGTGTTACCAGACAGATGCAGAGGGTCCTTCAGCTTCTCATTCTCCTCAAAGTTACAAGACGACCGCTCATCGTCCGAGTATGAGCGGTTGGCGTCGCCCTGGCAACGGAGAGCAAAATACTCCGTAAACAAAATATAGATAAACTCGGTAAAAACACTTTGTTAGTGAAAAAGGTGATGGCTAAAGCTAGGCTAAATGCTAAAGCTAGGCTAAATGCTAAAGCTAAGCTAAATGCTAAAGCTAGGCTAAATGCTAAAGCTAAGCTAAATGCTAACAACTTGTTTCAATCTGCAAAAGGAGACCCCTCCCACCTGTTAACAGAGCTCATAGAGCAAATCCAGACCTAAGTACGGAATGAAATGTGTACCATGGTATGGCAAGACCAGGCTAGGGTTAGGGTTCATTATTTAGCCCTTAATTAGCTGTCAATTAGTGCTGTCTAATCTTAACTATTACCTTTTTTATGTGTGTATCTACAGTTGTTTGGAAAGTAGGGAACCCCAGCTTTAATGTGAATAGACACTTACAGTATTTCAGTGTGTGCGTACCTCAGCTTGAAAACCCTCCACCAAGATGGCCACCAGTAAATTAAAGAGCACGTAGTTCCCAAAGGTCATGAGAGCGACGAAGTAGAGCGCCGCGCAGGGAGAGGTGGACGCCATGCCATTGTACAGAACCATGTTCCAGTCCTCCTGGGTCAGGATCTGAGGAGAACCAAGAACCAGGTCAGAACAGGATCTGAGGAGAACCAAGAACCAGGTCAGTACAGGATCTGAGGAGAACCAAGAACCAGGTCAGTACAGGATCTGAGGAGAACCAAGAACCAGGTCAGAACTGGATCTGAGGAGAACCAAGAACCAGGTCAGAACAGGATCTGAGGAGAACCAAGAACCAGGTCAGAACAGGATCTGAGGAGAACCAAGAACCAGGTCAGAACAGGATCTGAGGAGAACCAAGAACCAGGTCAGTACAGGATCTGAGGAGAACCAAGAACCAGGTCAGTACAGGATCTGAGGAGAACCAAGAACCAGGTCAGTACAGGATCTGAGGAGAACCAAGAACCAGGTCAGAACAGGATCTGAGGAGAACCAAGAACCAGGTCAGTACAGGATCTGAGGAGAACCAAGAACCAGGTCAGAACAGGATCTGAGGAGAACCAAGAACCAGGTCAGAACTGGATCTGAGGAGAACCAAGAACCAGGTCAGTACAGGATCTGAGGAGAACCAAGAACCAGGTCAGAACTGGATCTGAGGAGAACCAAGAACCAGTTCAGTACAGGATCTGAGGAGAACCAAGAACCAGGTCAGAACTGGATCTGAGGAAAACCAAGAACCAGGTCAGTACAGGATCTGAGGAGAACCAAGAACCAGGTCAGTACAGGATCTGAGGAGAACCAAGAACCAGGTCAGAACTGGATCTGAGGAGAACCAAGAACCAGGTCAGTCCAGGATCTGAGGAGAACCAAGAACCAGGTCAGTACAGGATCTGAGGAGAACCAAGAACCAGGTCAGAACAGGATCTGAGGAGAACCAAGAACCAGGTCAGTACAGGATCTGAGGAGAACCAAGAACCAGGTCAGAACAGGATCTGAGGAGAACCAAGAACCAGGTCAGAACAGGATCTGAGGAGAACCAAGAACCAGGTCAGAACAGGATCTGAGGAGAACCAAGAACCAGGTCAGTACAGGATCTGAGGAGAACCAAGAACCAGGTCAGTACAGGATCTGAGGAGAACCAAGAACCAGGTCAGTACAGGATCTGAGGAGAACCAAGAACCAGGTCAGAACAGGATCTGAGGAGAACCAAGAACCAGGTCAGTACAGGATCTGAGGAGAACCAAGAACCAGGTCAGAACAGGATCTGAGGAGAACCAAGAACCAGGTCAGAACTGGATCTGAGGAGAACCAAGAACCAGGTCAGTACAGGATCTGAGGAGAACCAAGAACCAGGTCAGAACTGGATCTGAGGAGAACCAAGAACCAGTTCAGTACAGGATCTGAGGAGAACCAAGAACCAGGTCAGAACTGGATCTGAGGAAAACCAAGAACCAGGTCAGTACAGGATCTGAGGAGAACCAAGAACCAGGTCAGTACAGGATCTGAGGAGAACCAAGAACCAGGTCAGAACTGGATCTGAGGAGAACCAAAAACCAGGTCAGAACTGGATCTGAGGAGAACCAAGAACCAGGTCAGTACAGGATCTGAGGAGAACCAAGAACCAGGTCAGAACAGGATCTGAGGAGAACCAAGAACCAGGTCAGAACTGGATCTGAGGAGAACCAAGAACCAGGTCAGTACAGGATCTGAGGAGAACCAGGAACCAGGTCAGAACTGGATCTGAGGAGAACCAAGAACCAGGTCAGTACAGGATCTGAGGAGAACCAAGAACCAGGTCAGAACTGGATCTGAGGAGAACCAAGAACCAGGTCAGAACTGGATCTGAGGAGAACCAAGAACCAGGTCAGTCCAGGATCTGAGGAGAACCAAGAACCAGGTCAGAACAGGATCTGAGGAGAACCAAGAACCAGGTCAGTACAGGATCTGAGGAGAACCAAGAACCAGGTCAGAACTGGATCTGAGGAGAACCAAGAACCAGGTCAGAACTGGATCTGAGGAGAACCAAGAACCAGGTCAGAACTGGATCTGAGGAGAACCAAGAACCAGGTCAGTACAGGATCTGAGGAGAACCAGGAACCAGGTCAGAACTGGATCTGAGGAGAACCAAGAACCAGGTCAGTACAGGATCTGAGGAGAACCAAGAACCAGGTCAGAACTGGATCTGAGGAGAACCAAGAACCAGGTCAGAACTGGATCTGAGGAGAACCAAGAACCAGGTCAGTCCAGGATCTGAGGAGAACCAAGAACCAGGTCAGAACAGGATCTGAGGAGAACCAAGAACCAGGTCAGTACAGGATCTGAGGAGAACCAAGAACCAGGTCAGAACTGGATCTGAGGAGAACCAAGAACCAGGTCAGAACTGGATCTGAGGAGAACCAAGAACCAGGTCAGAACTGGATCTGAGGAGAACCAAGAACCAGGCCAGAACAGGATTTTTGTGTTTTTCAGTTCTAAAGAAAGTGGTGAGTGACATCAATGATTAAATTCAAATTGTGTAAAAATGTATGTGCCTTTTGTCCTGGTCCGGTACCGTTTACTGCTGGTACCGTTTACTGCTGGTACCAAAGTTTATGTGAACAGAGTTTCCTTTTATCACAGTGAGTCTCGTACCTGGAAGACGGTCACGATGGCCCACAGCAGAGAGTCGAAGTTCTTGCGGTCGGGAACAGTGTCTCCAGCCTCGGTCTTCAGACTGAACTTGCAGCCGAAGATGTGCATCCCCAGAATACTGCCCGGAGCAAAAAGACCCAGAAGAATCTTTAACATTTGAGATCCCAATATTTATCAAACTCCAGTCCCACAGGCCGCGGATCATCTGAGTCTGAACAATGCCCGGATTCTCTCCTTACGTCACGCGACCCAATAGTGCTGAAATGACCTGTCTCTCTCTCTCTGACACCTGTCTCTCTGACACCTGTCTCTCTCTGGGACCTGTCTCTCTCTGACACCTGTCTCTCTGACACCTGTCTCTCTGACACCTGTCTCTCTCTGGGACCTGTCTCTCTGGGACCTGCCTCTCTCTGGGACCTGTCTCTCTGGGACCTGCCTCTCTCTGGGACCTGTCTCTCTGGGACCTGTCTCTCTTTGGGACCTGTCTCTCTCTGGGACCTGTCTCTCTGGAACCTGCCCCTCCCTGGGACCTGTCTCTCTGGGACCTGTCTCTCTCTGGGACCTGTCTCCCTGGGACCTGTCTCTCTCAGACCTGTCTCCTTGGGACCTGTCTCTCTCAGACCTGTCTCTCTGGAACCTGTCTCTCGCTGGGACCTGTCTCTCTCTGGACCTCTCTCTCTCTCTGACCTGTCTCTGTCAGACCTCTCTCTTTGGGACCTGTCTCTCTGGAACCTGTCTCTCTCTGGGACCTGTCTCTCTCTGGGACCTGTCTCTCTCTATGACCTGTCTCCCTGGGACCTGTCTCGCTGGGACCTGTCTCTCTCTGGGACCTGTCTCTCCCTGGGACCTGTCTCTCTCTCTGGGACCTGTCTCTCGTTGGGACCTGTCTCCCTGGAACCTGTCTCCCTCTGGGACCTGTCTCTCCCTGGGACCTGTCTCTCTCTGGGACCTCTCTCTCTCTCTGGGACCTCTCTCTCTCCTGGGACCTGTCTCTCTCTGGGACCTGTCTCTCTCTGGGACCTCTCTCCCTCTGGGACCTGTCTCTCTCTGGGACCTCTCTCTCTCCTGGGACCTCTCTCCCTCTGGGACCTGTCTCTCTCTGGGACCTCTCTCCCTCTGGGACCTGTCTCTCTCTGGGACCTGTCTCTCTGGGCTCTGCCTGGTGACATTATGCCAAGTCCTCGACTGCACATTTAAGTTTGTATTTTGTTTTGCACCTCACTCTGCTGCACCTCACTCTGCTGCACCTCACTCTGCTGCACCTCACTCTGCTGCACCTCACTCTGCTGCACCTCACTCTGCTGCACCACACTCTGCTGCACCTCACTCTGCTGCACCTCACTCTGCTGCACCTCACTCTGCTGCACCTCACTCTGCTGCACCTCACTCTGCTGCACCTCACTCTGCTGCACCTCACTCTGCTGCACCTCTCTGCTGCACCACACTCTGCTGCACCTCACTCTGCTGCACCTCACTCTGCTGCACCTCACTCTGCTGCACCTCACTCTGCTGCACCTCACTCTGCTGCACCACACTCTGCTGCACCTCACTCTGCTGCACCTCACTCTGCTGCACCTCACTCTGCTGCACTGCTCACTCACTCTGCTGCACCTCACTCTGCTGCACCTCACTCTGCTGCACCACACTCTGCTGCACCTCACTCTGCTGCACCTCACTCTGCTGCACCACACTCTGCTGCACCTCACTCTGCTGCACCTCACTCTGCTGCACCACACTGATAACTACATGCTCACACCTCATAGCTTCTTTTTGTTTAATGTTATACTTGTTTTGTTATAATTATATAACAAATACAATTATACCTTTTGCACTTTTAACCCCCATGTCCCTCCCTATCGGTTCAGGCCCTACCTCGGCCATATTAATATTAGAATAAGTTCTGCACAGATAGTAATTCAAACTACCACAACAAAACCTCTGACATGTGCATTCTCCACTACTTCTTTTTCTAATGTAATTCTAACCTGATCCCGGAGTCGTGTGAGCTGCAGTCTGCTCACATTCTGCTCACATTCTGCTCACGTTCACATTCTTCCAGCAATTATGGAGTGGATTCAAAGTTTAGCCTAAGCTGAGTGGCACATACATTAACAGAATGCATTAGCAGCAGACGAGACGCTCTGCCATGTTTGGACCGTTTGGGCTTGAATTAAAGAAGGAAGTACAAAAAAGAGGCTGTGGTCCATTTTTGGTCATTTCACATTTGTCATTTTGGTGCAGAAAAGTGTATAAACTTATTGTGGTGAATACATCAGATTCTAGAGAGGTGTGTTTTAGGTAACGCTGTGTGAAGTGAAAAATTAATCTATACTTTTATTTTTGGACTTGGACTCAAATCACTAAAGAGACTGCAGAATTGAATGAAAATGAATTCACTATGTAGTTTTAATCAGACAGCCCCATGTGTTAAACAAGTCTCTATGAAGCTGTTTGTCGTGGGCTTTGTTTGATCTCTGTTTTGGTCAAATGTACTGTTCTATACAATGCTTTGGTCCTGTTGAATAAAATATGTCTAACTGAACACACATGAACCCAGTCTATTCAAAAACACAAACCGAACAAACTAAGAACAACGATTATACACTTTTCCCCACTCGATCCTAGCCCGGTCTTACCGCACCATGGTACTCATTTCATACTAAGGTCTGGGTTTGCTCCATTGACTCCGTGAACAGGTGGGAGGGGCTAACTCCTTTTGCAGACTGAAACCATTGGATCTGAGTTTACTGTGACGTATGTAATGAGCCCGAGTGAGTGAGGCCTTTAGCCTTTAGCCTAGCTTTAGCATGTAGCCTAGCTTTAGCCATCTCCTTTGCCGCTAATGGAGCCCGTGGGAAGTAGAGCCACAACATCTTTGCCAGCAATGAAATTTGCTAAACATTCCTCTTGCTCCGGCTTCAATTTCTTGATATTTGGAGCCGAAACAGAACAGAATATTTTACTATCGCATTCTCCGACAAACTGGGCTGGTGCTCTGTGAACCTGGTGCATCTCTGACTGCCACCCCTCCGACCCAGAAATGGATAAAGGGGAAGAAAATGGAGTGACTACTACAAACTACAACCAGCAAATTTGCAGCAAACTCTTAACGTCACCGACACCGACCTACAACACCCGCCTCCCCCGCGCTCTGATTGGTCAGAGGGGATTTAACCGATGTCATCGCAGACACTGGGACCAGACCCAGACGTACGTGTAGAAAATGATAATTGACCGGAGTTTACAGATGGCTAAGGCCAGGTTAACTCAGTCTCCCTCTAACTTGTTAAAAATGGGCTGTGTAGGAACTTTACCCGCTGCAGAGAAAACAGTCCTCACCTTCATGGCACAAATGCATTTTTAAAGATCCCAGAGAGGAGAGCGTCTGGAGAGAGATGGAACATAATCCTATTGTTCAGCCCTCACTGCTGCTTACTTCAGCTAATGTACTGGAATAATGTGTTTTTCTGAGGGTCCGTATTACCAACCACATGCTCCACATTGGCACACATTGGCACACTTTGGCACGTTCAAGCCCAAAGACATTAGGAGAGCTGAAATCCCCCGTGTTTATGCCCTAGGACTTGGAACCCGACCCTGAGCTGTGTAACTTTCAAATCCACATAGACAACATCTTTAACATCATCTGCGCTTGATGATTTTTGAGCAGCAATACATTGATGGAGGTTTGGGAGATTTCTGCATAAAGTAAACATTAAAGTTTTGGCTCGTTTGAAAGTAGTCCACAATTCTGCTGCGAGGTTTTTGACCCGCACTCGTAAAAATGACTCCAATCATGGAACCCTTAGACTGTCAGCCCGTCTCACAGAGAACCCATTTTAAAAGTCTGGTGTCCTGAATGTTCCAGAATAACGTTTGTGCACGTCAGTTCATGTGCAGACCATAACAATGTGACATTTGAGTTGAGCAGTCTCATTTTCCTCAATTTTTGTTATTACTTAAAAGCAGGTGTCTCCAACCTTTTTCAATCAGAGAGCTACTTTTATACAATGGAAGAGCCAGAGAGAACCTCCTGAAACATGAATCTTGAAATCCGTTTTGTGGTCGTAATTAAAATCTATGTAATAACAACAAAAGATAGAGAATGCATGTCAAATATTCTATAAAACTAACAATTGATACTTAATAGATATGCAATGACTCAAAATTCAAGTTCATTCAATTCTAAATCCTTTGGGGAGCTACCTAAAAGGAGCCAGCGAGCAGTGTTGGGCACGTTACTTTGAAAAAGTAATTAGTTATAGTTACTAGTTACTTCTCCCAAAAAGTAACTGAGTTACTAACGGAGTTACTCCACTATAAAAGTAACTAGTTACCAGTAAAAGTAACTATTGCGTTACTTTTTCGTTCTGTTCTGGAACATAATGTGCACTCGACGTGCGCAGTTTTACCTTTAACCTTTAACCTCAGTGAGTCTGAAATAGTGCCAATATTTCCATCTAGAAAAGTCTGTTTTTCTGCTGAAGTCCTGTTCACTCTTCATCTGTCTGTGCTGTAAAGCCCGCCACTGTGAATGTGGAAACACCGGTGAAGCACTGACTTCAGTCCAATCAGATGAACATATACATCATATAAATCAAGTGGACAATTTGTTTGGCTACAGCAAAATATGTTTCATGCCCGCATTGTTTGTTCATACAAAACGCAAAACTATGAGTTATGGGTCTTACCTTATAGCTATACCTTATAAATGACCTGCACAGTCCACTTCGGTTCAGAACAGTTCTGTGTTTAAGTCCAGATAATAGTTTGAGCGTAGATATGTAATCCTCCATTTGGAAATGAGTTTTAAAAAGTAAAACAAAACGCGTGTGTCCTCCGTAAACTACTCTGTTTTGCTAGGTGCAGCCGGGTGCATCCAATTTCTAAAATCAACCGTCCCACACTTCACCTCTTTCTTATCATTCCTATAGTAATTGAAAAATTACCGTAAGTGCATTTTAAATGATTTTAAAATGTGTTATATGTATGTTAGCCAAACCTGTTGCTGCCCTTAGCAGATAAACCAGGAAGAGCAAGGAGCTTATCGATGGAATTGTATGCAGCCTTCTGCGCTCACATGAGCTCCTCTGTGGCTGACCTCACGGTGATACAAGCCGTGGTTGAGCGCGACTAAGACCCATATTTGTTTCAAAAACACACTTTATGACCATCCTCTCAACTGTAGACATGTGGATTGTAAAGGAAATATGATTTACATCAGCCAATAATTGCTGAGAGGTTTTCTCATCCTCCCTTCTCTCATGACAACACGTTCATTGTGCGTCTTGAGTAACGCGCAGTAACGGGATGTCGGAAATGATAACGGCGTTATAGTTACTGTCAAAGTAATTAGTTAGATTACTCGTTACTGAAAAAAGTAACGGCGTTAGTAACGCCGTTACTAGTAACGCCGTTATTCCCATCACTGCCAGCGAGCTACTGGTAGCTCCTGAGCCACAGGTTGGAGACCCCTGCATTAAAGAATATGGGGGCCATAAAATGCATTAAAGCTGCAAAAACTGATTTGGAGAAATGTTCAAATGTGAGCGATGGCCTCGCTCTCTCTGCTCGCCCTCCCCCCCCCCCTCCCGCAGCCTGTGCTCCGTGCTGTTGTTAGCTTCGGAGCTAGCGTCTCACAATATGGAACAATATGGCACTTTGGAACGTGGGGACAGAACCGGGAAGTGCGGAGAGGACGAGACTTTCTTTTGGATGGATGTTTCTCTGAGTCAGCAGAAACGAAGACACAGGAAGTTTCAGGTTAGCCTGCGCCGCTTGTTATGCTAACTCAGCTGTCTGTGCTAACCACAGATCTGTAGCTTTTCTCAAGAAAGTGGGGGCCAGTGGTCCACTGTGATTGGTCACAATCTGAGACCCGAAACACATTCTGTTCCTTGTTTCACCAAAACTCGATCTAAAATATAATGTCGCACCAGCACAAATCTGCGCTACTTATTTTTCAAAAGGACGTATATCCCAATGCGCTGCATGGACATGGATTGGATTTTCATAATGAATACGAAAATAAAGTCAGTTAGTGCAGCTTTAAATCGCAGAATTGAATCGTGATACTTATTTATTTCGTTGTATGTTGTGTTTTGGCCCAAATTTTCCAATACCAATAAATCGTCACATTTTTTCCAATTCCCACCATTCCCTTCTCTCCATAAAAGTCCAGATGTGGCAGAGACAGCAGCTGGTGTGGACTATGGGTTCTGGAGTGGACTATGGGTTCTGGTGTGGACTGTGGGTTCTGGTGTGGACTGTGGGTTCTGGTGTGGACTATGGGTTCTGGTGTGGACTGTGGGTTCTGGTGTGGACTGTGGGTTCTGGTGTGGACTGTGGGTTCTGGAGTGGACTGTGGGTTCTGGAGTGGACTATGGGTTCTGGAGTGGACTGTGGGTTCTGGTGTGGACTGTGGGTTCTGGAGTGGACTGTGGGTTCTGGTGTGGACTATGGGTTCTGGAGTGGACTGTGGGTTCTGGTGTGGACTATGGGTTCTGGAGTGGACTGTGGGTTCTGGTGTGGACTGTGGGTTCTGGTGTGGACTGTGGGTTCTGGTGTGGACTATGGGTTCTGGTGCGGACTGTGGGTTCTGGTGTGGACTATGGGTTCTGGAGTGGACTGTGGGTTCTGGTGCGGACTGTGGGTTCTGGAGTGGACTGTGGGTTCTGGTGTGGACTATGGGTTCTGGAGTGGACTGTGGGTTCTGGAGTGGACTGTGGGTTCTGGTGTGGACTATGGGTTCTGGTGTGGACTATGGGTTCTGGTGCGGACTGTGGGTTCTGGTGTGGACTATGGGTTCTGGAGTGGACTGTGGGTTCTGGTGCGGACTGTGGGTTCTGGTGCGGACTGTGGGTTCTGGTGTGGACTGTGGGTTCTGGAGTGGACTGTGGGTTCTGGAGTGGACTGTGGGTTCTGGAGTGGACTGTGGGTTCTGGTGTGGACTGTGGGTTCTGGTGTGGACTGTGGGTTCTGGAGTGGACTGTGGGTTCTGGAGTGGACTGTGGGTTCTGGAGTGGACTGTGGGTTCTGGTGTGGACTGTGGGTTCTGGTGTGGACTATGGGTTCTGGAGTGGACTGTGGGTTCTGGTGCGGACTGTGGGTTCTGGTGCGGACTGTGGGTTCTGGTGTGGACTGTGGGTTCTGGAGTGGACTGTGGGTTCTGGTGTGGACTGTGGGTTCTGGTGTGGACTGTGGGTTCTGGAGTGGACTGTGGGTTCTGGAGTGGACTGTGGGTTCTGGTGTGGACTGTGGATTCTGGAGTGGACTGTGGGTTCTGGTGTGGACTGTGGGTTCTGGTGTGGACTGTGGGTTCTGGAGTGGACTGTGGGTTCTGGAGTGGACTGTGGGTTCTGGTGTGGACTGTGGGTTCTGGTGTGGACTGTGGGTTCTGGTGTGGACTGTGGGTTCTGGTGTGGACTGTGGATTCTGTGGGTTCTGGTGTGGACTGTAGGTTCTGGTGTGGACTGTGGGTTCTGGTGTGGACTGTGGGTTCTGGAGTGGACTGTGGGTTCTGGAGTGGACAGTGGGTTCTGGTGCGGACTGTGGGTTCTGGTGTGGACTGTGGGTTCTGGTGTGGACTGTGGGTTCTGGAGTGGACTGTGGGTTCTGGAGTGGACTGTGGGTTCTGGTGTGGACTGTGGGTTCTGGTGTGGACTGTGGGTTCTGGAGTGGACTGTGGGTTCTGGTGTGGACTGTGGGTTCTGGAGTGGACTGTGGGTTCTGGAGTGGACTGTGGGTTCTGGTGTGGACTGTGGGTTCTGGAGTGGACTGTGGGTTCTGGAGTGGACTGTGGGTTCTGGAGTGGACTGTGGGTTCTGGTGTGGACTATGGGTTCTGGAGTGGACTGTGGGTTCTGGTGTGGACTATGGGTTCTGGTGTGGACTGTGGGTTCTGGAGTGGACTGTGGGTTCTGGAGTGGACTGTGGGTTCTGGTGTGGACTGTGGGTTCTGGAGTGGACTGTGGGTTCTGGAGTGGACTGTGGGTTCTGGAGTGGACTGTGGGTTCTGGTGTGGACTATGGGTTCTGGAGTGGACTGTGGGTTCTGGAGTGGACTGTGGGTTCTGGTGTGGACTATGGGTTCTGGTGTGGACTGTGGATTCTGGTGTGGACTGTGGGTTCTGGAGTGGACTGTGGGTTCTGGAGTGGACTGTGGGTTCTGGAGTGGACTGTGGGTTCTGGAGTGGACTGTGGGTTCTGGTGTGGACTATGGGTTCTGGAGTGGACTGTGGGTTCTGGAGTGGACTGTGGGTTCTGGTGTGGACTGTGGGTTCTGGAGTGGACTGTGGGTTCTGGAGTGGACTGTGGGTTCTGGTGTGGACTGTGGGTTCTGGAGTGGACTGTGGGTTCTGGAGTGGACTGTGGGTTCTGGAGTGGACTGTGGGTTCTGGTGTGGACTATGGGTTCTGGAGTGGACTGTGGGTTCTGGAGTGGACTGTGGGTTCTGGTGTGGACTATGGGTTCTGGTGTGGACTATGGGTTCTGGTGTGGACTGTGGATTCTGGTGTCTTACCTGAAGATGAAGATGAAGAGCATGAGCAGCATACAGAAGGTGGCCACGTTGTCCATGGTCTTCATCAGGACCACCAGCTGCCTCCGGAGCGCGGGCATGAACCTCACCAGCTTAATGACCCTCAGGAGCCTGAAGGTCCGCAGCACAGAGAGGCCCCCGTCGGCCTGCCCGATGATCTCACACACACTGCAACCGCACAGAAGGTTATAGATGCGGAAGAAAAAGTAGTCGTAAACAAATTTCAGTGTACGTTTTTCATAACAGTCATAACTGAGAGGTGACGGGTCTGAGTGGAGAAGGTTTTGGGCGATCCTGTCCAATCAGTGAGGGGCTGGTGCTATGAGACTTGGGTGGCATCTCTGACTGCCACCCCCCTGACCCAGAAATGGATTAAAGGGTAGAAAATGGATGGATGGATGGATGTCCAATCAGAGCCATCACCATAACTCACTCTTCTCCCGCCAGAGAAGCACCGTGAGCTCCAGACTCCTCTCTCTAAGGCGCCCCAAGGACAGACTTTAGAACTCTTGAAGAATGCAGCACAAAGCCTAATATCATATGCAATAATTATCGCTAAGAAACTAATTCTTCACTTGTGGATAGGAAAAGACCCCCGTTCTTTGAAAATGTGGGTCACAGAGCTCACTGACACTGTTCATTTAGAGAAAATACCATATGCCATGAACGGCAGACTGATTGAATTGGAAAATATCTGGCAACCCTTATTACATTTTCATAGAGATAGCGGATGAGTGCAGTCTGGGAGGAGGTGGTTTAATGTTTTTTTATTCCTTGTATTAAAGACACACATTCTTCCAGTGGACAAAGTTATGTCCTTTTGTTTAGTTTTTTGTTTTATTATTATTAATATTATAATATAATATATTATCTTTGTCTGCAAAAAAAAGAAAAAATATGTCTTGAACAGTTAATTTTGTGAAAACCTTCTATAAATATATTTGAAAGTGTTTTATCTAATGTGTTTTAATGTAGTTGTAAATATTGTTAACCTGAGGAAATGTAAATTTAACTGATGCAGAATGAATGAATTGTAGTAAAGTGTTAAGAATGGATGCACTTTCACATTGTGTACTGTCTTTTATTTGTAACCATGGGCTGCAGATGGAAACTAGCATCTAGCTATAATCTGGAGTGCAGGATATCAAAGATGACTCAGACATAAATGAATCAGTCTAACAACAGCAGTGTGTAGATGAGAGCCAAATACAAATGCTAGCCTGTTAAAATGTCACAAACCTGATGATGACGATGATGCCGTCGAAGATGTTGTAGGGATTCCTCAGATACTCGAAGAAGCCGAAGGCCGTGAGCTTCAGGATCATCTCCAGCGTGAACATGCTGGTGAACACGATGTTGCAGATCTCCAGGACGTTGGTCAGTTCGTCCGGCTGCGGAGGAGAAGACAGAGGGGTTAGTATCCTGCTGTGGAGGAGGAGAAGACAGAGGAGGGGTTAGTATCCTGCTGTGGAGGAGGTGAACACAGAGAAGGGGTTAGTATCCTGCTGTGGAGGAGGAGAAGACAGAGGAGGGGTTAGTATCCTGCTGTGGAGGAGAAGAAGGCAGAGGAGGGGTGAGTATCCCGCTATGGAGGAGGAGAAGGCAGAGGAGGGGTTAGTATCCTGCTGTGGAGGAGGTGAACACAGAGGAGGGGTTAGTATCCTGCTGTGGAGGAGGAGAAGACAGAGGAGGGGTTAGTATCCTGCTGTGGAGGAGGTGAACACAGAGGAGGGGTTAGTATCCTGCTGTGGAGGAGGAGAAGACAGAGGAGGGGTTAGTATCCTGCTGTGGAGGAGAAGAAGGCAGAGGAGGGGTGAGTATCCTGCTATGGAGGAGGAGAAGGCAGAGGAGGGGTTAGTATCCTACTGTGGAGGAGAAGACAGAGGAGGGGTTAGTATCCTACTGTGGAGGAAAAGACAGAGGAGGGGTGAGTATCCTGCTGTGGAGGAGGAGAAGGCAGAGGAGGGGTGAGTATCCTGCTGTGGAGGAGGAGAAGGCAGAGGAGGGGTTAGTATCCTGCTGTGGAGGAGGAGAAGGCAGAGGAGGGGTTAGTATCCTGCTATGGAGGAGGAGAAGGCAGAGGAGGGGTTAGTATCCTGCTGTGGAGGAGAAGACAGAGGAGGGGTTAGTATCCTGCTGTGGAGGAGGAGAAGGCAGAGGAGGGGTTAGTATCCAGCTGTGGAGGAGGAGAAGACAGAGGAGGGGATATAACCCTGTAACTCCCCCCCTCCAAAAAATAACAAAATCCCACTGCAAGATGTGATGAAGATGACTCAGACCCATTTCCTCAGGTGAGTCCAGTTGTAACCTGAAGATTTGAGTAAATGGGTGGAGTCATCTGTGCTCCTGCTCAGTTTGGAACTGTTGGAAGCAAAACCTGCAGCCACATGGTCCTTTCTGTAACTGGTTTGAGACCCCTGCTTTAAAGCATTGGATAACTCTCTTTCCGGGTACACCCCCACCGGCCCGGAGTGAGATTGCAGCATGTCAGCGCAGGTGCTCATGGACCTTTTTGAGCCTGGACATGCCCCCATTGGGTGCAATACCTATATGGTCAAAGCTCTAAAGGCGCTGGATGGAATTTTTCAAAGGAATGACGTTTTTATCCAAATAACGTATTTCAAACAGCATAAAAATCTACAATATCTAAAATTAATGACTTCTGCAATCATTCAGACCCTTCATGATAAGTCAACATACTCAGAATTACAACAAAGTGCGACATAGCAGCAGCAGCGTCTTCTTTTGACTTGTGCCAAAAGCAAAATGGGCAACAATCTCAGAAAAGCAAATGCAAGTAAACAGATTTCAGATTCAGATTCAGTTTATTTGCCATTTGCAGTAAAAACAACACATTGGAATACATTAGCAAAAGTCTCCAGTGTGCACAGACAAATACAGACATAAAACAACATTAAAAGACAGAAATAAAACAAATAAAACAGTAAACAAATGTCACTGTGAAATCGATCGACTAAAACAGTTTCAAAACAAGTGCAAATCATTAAAGTGCTCTGTTCACACTGATAACAGCCTGTGGATAAAAACTGTTAGCGTAACGAGATGTCCTGCATCTCAGAGAGCGATATCTTCTGCCAGAAGGAAGAAGCTGGAACATGGCTTTCCCAGGGTGGCCAGAAGAGTCATTAACAATCCTCAGAGCTTTGTTTAAAAGTGTGGATTTATAAAGAACCTCCAGAACAGGAAGCTCACAGCCCACGGTCCTCTTTGCAGAGCGGAGCACCTTGTTTAAAGCTCTCTTTTCTTTATCTGTGATGTTTCCAAACCACACAGACACAGAACCAACAAGTAAACTCTCAATGGTGCAGCCATAAAAGTTAAGCACAATCTTAGAGTTAGTGGTAAATTCTCTAAGTTTACGCAGAAAGTAGAGACGCTTCACATGTTTTGGATGCGTTCAGCTGCAGGTTGTTAGTTTTACTCCACTGAGCCAAACGGAAGAACAGATCACAGACAAAATACAAGAGTAAAATAACTGTAAAAACTAATTTGGAGGGAAATAGAGACAGGAAAACCCTATTGCATTGTATTGTATGTTTGAAAGTCTTAAAAGTAAATTGTGCATAATTCCTTCTTTTTTATATATTTTTTCTCATAAGCATCTCTCAACACGAGCTGAGCGACAATAGAGGCTCGGACATCTGCAGAGGAAACTATTGTGTGTTCAGCGGCTGTCAATCAATCAGTCTGTCCGAGAAGTGTCAGCGAGATGTGACGACGTCTTTATCGTTCACATTCAGAGGGAAGTGGGCCGAGGAACAACTGTCTTTATCTACAGCAGGAACGGAACGCTTTCACAAAACAACAGTAAACACACGGGTTCGTTTTGACCCACAATGCATCTGCTCTCAGTCATAGTTTGATTATTGTCGAGTCCACTTTTACAGACCAGTTTAAGCTAGTTTCAAACTCATTTAAGAATAATTTTTAATGTTAACGTCTTTTTTTTATATTGAAATCTTGCTTCCAAACAGCATTCTCAGACTTAAACTTGGAAGATGGAGCGGTGGATACGGATGCGGCCGAATGCAAGAGATGCTCATATAACAAGGCAGCCAATCAGAGAGCAGCACAGTGGTCATGGGGTCACAAGCCGCTCAAAGCAGATAGAAGAAGACACTTGAAAACAGGACTTCACCAGGTCTGAACCAAGACTAAACCAAGAGCTAAACCAGGACTTTACCAAGACTGAACCAAGACTGAACCAAGACTAAACCAAGAGCTAAACCAGGACTTTACCAAGACTGAACCAAGACTGAACCAAGACTAAACCAAGAGCTAAACCAGGACTTAACCAGGACTGAACCAAGACTAAACCAAGAGCTAAACCAGGACTTAACCAGGACTGAACCAGGACTAAACCAAGAGCTAAACCAGGACTTAACCAGGACTGAACCAAGACTAAACCAAGAGCTAAACCAGGACTTAACCAGGACTGAACCAGGACTAAACCAAGAGCTAAACCAGGACTTAACCAGGTCTGAACCAAGACTAAACCAAGAGCTAAACCAGGACTTAACCAGGACTGAACCAGGACTAAACCAAGAGCTAAACCAGGACTTAACCAGGTCTGAACCAAGACTAAACCAAGAGCTAAACAAGGACTGAACCAGGACTAAACCAAGAGCTAAACCAGGACTTAACCAAGACTAAACCAAGAGCTAAACAAGGACTGAACCAGGACTAAACCAAGAGCTAAACCAGGACTAAACCAAGAGCTAAACCAGGACTGAACCAGGACTAAACCAAGAGCTAAACAAGGACTGAACCAGGACTAAACCAAGAGCTAAACCAGGACTTAACCAAGACTAAACCAAGAGCTAAACCAGGACTTAACCAAGAGCTAAACCAGGACTGAACCAGGACTAAACCAAGAGCTAAACAAGGACTGAACCAGGACTAAACCAAGCGCTAAACCAGGACTTAACCAAGACTAAACCAAGAGCTAAACCAGGACTTAACCAAGAGCTAAACCAGGACTGAACCAGGACTAAACCAAGAGCTAAACAAGGACTGAACCAGGACTAAATCAAGAGCTAAACCAGGACTGAACCAGGACTACAATAGGTCTGGCATGTTCCTCCTGTACTGGCGACCCCGCTCCCATCACTGTGTGGAATGCCCAAAAATAACAAGTGTAAACCGCTTTGTGACTCTGGTCTGTGAAAGGCGGTATATAAATAAACATTACTTAGCTAGTTAAACCAGGACCGAAACCAAGACTAAACCAAGAGCTTTACCAGAACTGACCCAGGACAGAACCAGGCAATGTAATATTGTTAACCAACATTCTATGACAGTTAAAGCCCCTTTTCTTCAAGATCCTGGACTGGTTCTGGTCCTGACTCAGCTCTGTTGTCCACCAGAGCAGAGCAAGTTCTGGTTACCGTAGCAACGCATTTAGCCTTAGTCTTTCACCACACTGTTTTTGGGCGTCTCTGCTTAGACTGCTGCCCCCGCGACCCGGCAACGGCTGAAGCGGAAGAAAATGGATGGATGTTTTTGCTGTTTTTCCAGTTATATTCATACGTTTTTTTGCACTTATTAAAACTGAGCGAAGGTAAAAAAAAAACATAACAAAAATGCCTTTTCATTGAACTGGTGTAAATTTCACTTTTCTGTTGATTTGAATGGGAGCCGGTAAATCTGGTAGTTTCAGAATTGTGGGAGTCCTAGTGTCAATCTGAACTAGTTTTTCTTCAGACGGATTATTGCCCTGGATTGTAGCGACCTCCGACTCACGGCTGAACCCTCTACATACAGTGTGGGCTTCTGTTCATTGGTATGCACCCGCACCCCCCCCATCATCCTCCCTCGCTGCGTGTGTGAGTGACTGCACGATATGGATCAGAGGCTTTCTCCGATTCCCCCCCATGAATTTGTGTTTTCAAAGCCCCGACAAAAGAAAGGGAGCCAAAGTTAGCAAAGCGCATCAGGCCTCGGTCTCGCTGTAATCCTCTCCCCTCCACACTTTGGCTCGGTGTCTATCTGGGTCCCACATCGGTCCACCCCCGCCCCCCCCCGGGTCTGTCTGCACTGCCATTATCAGAGCTGGCCATCTCTGCCCGATCGATGCGGTCAGAGGGAGAGCCATCTTTCCAAATCACTTTCTGCAGGTGAGCGATACTCAACTCTGGAGTCAATGTGGGGAAAAATAGACTCACTTTTTGTGCGTTTTCCAGAGAAAATTTAATCTGGCCCAACGGCAAGTTATTTATTTTTTGTAGTTCAACAGAGATTTTCAGAGAGAGTGATGGAATGGATAAAGTGCAGATCAGCAAATGTGAAATATCCCAATGGAGGAGGGTTGGTGATGAAGAAGCCATGTTGGAAAGGTTTGAATCAAAACAGGATTTTCTGAGGATTGAGA